TATGCCCCCCCAACTTGATCCCTCTTGTTCACATTCACATTACCCCTGGTCTACCTGCAAACTCTATTTCCCCTTCTGAGGGAGATCTATGTGTCCCCCTTAGTGCCCTCCTTGTTATGGGTCTGTGGGTTATACCATGACTATCATTTACTTAACAGCTAATATCTACTTATAAGTGAGTACATATCATGTTGTCTTTCTGAGTCTGGGTTACCTCACTCAGGATGATCTTTTCTAGTTCCATCCGTTTGCCTGCAAATTTCATGATTTCCTTTTTTTTTTTTTTTTTTTTTTTTTAACAGCTGAGTAGTATTCCATGTGTAAATGTACCAGATTTTTTTATTTTTTATCCATTCTTCAGTTGAGGGACATTTAGGTTGTTTCCAGATTCTAGCTATTGGGAATAAAGCCATCGTGAACAAAGTTAAGCTTGTCTTTGTGGTAGGATGAAGTGTCCTTTGGGCATATGCCCAAAATTGGTACAGCTGGAACTTAAGGTAGATTGATTTTGTTTTCTGATCAGCCACCATTCTGCTTTCCATAGTGGTTGTGCAAGTTTGCACTCCCACCAGCAAAAGAATGTTCCTCTTGCTTCACACCCTTGCCAGCCTGAGCTCTCACTTGTGTTATTGATGTAAACTATTCTTAGCATTCCTTTCTAAGATGGAATCTCAGAGTAGTTTTGATTTGCATTTTCCTGATAGCTAAGGATGTCCAACATTTCTTTAAGAGTTTCTTAGCCATTTGAGATTCCTCTATTAAGAAGTCTCTGATAAAACTGTATCCCATGTTTTTATTGGATTATTTTTTTGTTGTTGTCTAGTTTCTTGAGTTCTTTATATATTTTGGATATTAGTAGAGTTGGTGAAAAATCTTTTCCCATTCTTTAGTCTGCTGTTTTGTCATTGATGGTGTCCTTTGCCTGACCAAAAAAAAAAAAAAAAATCAGTTTCATAAGGTTCCATTTATTAATTGTTGATCTTAGAGCATATGACATTTAAATAAACATTTTAATTCCAAAGCCTAACAATGTATACAAAAATGAATAAGTGTAGGGCATCCAGAAGCCTCTACCACCTCATGTATGTTATCAAACTCCTTTCCTCAACAATACAGGAATTCTCTTTGTGGTGCCCAGTAACAGTTTTCTTGATCTTTCTTCATAGGCATAACACTAGTCACCAGTCTTTAAACAGTGAAGTAACACCTGTTTGGATTTTACGTAAGAGGAATGACATAGTGCACATTCTTTGGCTTTTATCTTCCCATTCATTGTTACCTTTTGTTTCATGAAAATTCTTGCATGTGGCTGTGGTTAACTGATTCCCAATGTGGTAATGATGACTGTATCAAGATTCATTCACAGTTTCTGCTGCTGGTGAATGTTGTCGCATTGTTTTGTTTTCTGAATTTGAACTGTTAATAGCAGTGCTGATCTGAGTACTTTTCTGTCCGTCCTTTGTTCACAGTCCTTCCAGCACAGAGTGACATTGTTGGGATCTGTAAGCAGGCATCTCTACGGCCAGCCCCAAGGGACCTGACAAACCGGACATCAGGCATCTGTGAAGCCACCTACCGACCACCTGAAACCACCTGCGCATGCTCTGAGTCATCTTATAAGAGAACTCCTACCATCTCTCTCCTGCCCTGCCCAGAGACTGTCTCTGGGACCCCTTTCCCCTTCCCTTAATAAACCTCCCACGTGGAACCAGTCACGTGGTGTGATTTGTGAACCCGCCGTGTAACTTTGCTGCACAATCCTAACAGACAATACTTTGTCAGATGATAGGTGGTGACTTTTTTCCATTCTAACACCGGAGAACAATAGCTCTACCTCCATCAGGAATAAAGGGAAAAAAATGTAAATGTTACAGATAGAGAACAAATTTATAAAGACTGCAACATCAGATTATTACCACATAGCCTAACCTAGTAAGTGATGAGATAGTTGTGAGAATAACTATTAATACACTTTGTAAAAAAACTAAACTTCTAAAAGCCATAATGAACTGAATACATTTGAAATAGCTTTGTGAAGTTATGTCAAAAGACATTCCAAAGCAGGGGGGATAACACAAGAATGTAAAGGAAAGGAAGGTAGGAGCAGATACAAGCACCGGTGGCAAAATCAGTTGGGCAAGTGCATAGACTAATCTGAAAGAGGGCTTTTCCAATAATCTATTCAACGATTTTTATTTAACATTAAAAAAAAATAGGTTCGAGGCAATTTTAATACGATGGAAAATAAAGGGAGCCAAACCTGATTTTAAGTTGCTTGTACATTAGAGGGGAACACAGCCAGCCAGTTAAATCACATTTAAATTGCAAAATCAGTCCTGGGACAAACACTTTGGAAAAGACACAACATGCATATAGGAGCAGCAAGACTGAATCTGCTTAACGACGAAAAATAAGATTTTCTAAACAAAAAAAATTAGTGACAGCAGGAAAGCTAGACATGGACAAAGCACAGCCAAAGGACGAACATTACAAATAGAGGAAGCAGCTGAGAAAAGGGCCTACAGAGACTGGGTGCAGATTGATCAAGCCTTCAGGAAATAGCAAGGAAAAGGTAGGTGGGGTCAAAATTTGAAAGATGTAAATGCCAAAGGCCTTCCATCTCAGACAACCTTGAGTTCCGTGTGTCTGTAGACTGCGGTGTATTTAATTCTGTATCAAATGCAGAATAGTACTTCAAACGTAGGAGATGTTCAAATTGCTGGCTGAGGTGATCCAGGAACAGATTTTATTTTGTAGGTAATAGAGCCTAGGGCAGGGGTGGGGGTGGGCGGGGGCAAGAGGAATGGAGAGCCGAGTCAAGTAAATTATAATAGGACATGGTTAGCGCTATTAAGAAACGTGTGTGAGTGTTGCTAGAGATGTCTGACACCTTGGGGGACCGAACTGTCTCTGAGCCTTCCACAAGCTTGGCCAGATGGAGTGAGTAAATTATACGCTGAAAGTATAGTAGGGGACAAAGGGTTTCCTAAATGTACGTGATAAGGGTGAGTGCGCACCCAATTACACAGCTCCCTTTAGCCACCCTCTACTCCCACACTGAGGCCCAGGGAAAAGTGTGGCAGTTAGATTGATTGACAAGCAGGCACACGACTTCAAGGGAATTTGGGAACCCTTGACTTATGGAGCTCTCTGGAGAAAGGAAAATGGCAGCTGCAATGTATAGACATAGTAAAGAGCCCAAAAGTCTACTGGACAAGGGGAGACAGTGTGAAGGTGTAGGTGGGGTAGGAGAGGTGAGGACACATTTGAAAAGCTTTGCTGGATAAACTAAAGAATTCTGTGCCTAATGAGGAATTGAGGGGAGATCTTGGGGCCAGGAATGACTTTTTACAGGGGAGAATAATCCAAAGAAATCGATAAACAGAGAATGAAGACGTGTTTCTAAGGAAGACACAATGGACATGTCTTCTAAGGAAGACAGGTGTCTAGTGGCCATTTCCATGACACACAAGAAAACGCAGGTAGGAAGTGAATTTGAGCTTTCTAGAGGTGTAGACTGCTTTAGTTAGAGAGGAAATGGTACAGTTAAGAAAAAAAGCCTTCGTTTTACAGTTAAGTTTTATTGCCAAATAGCACAGAGCAGGTACCTATATACAGTGCTAGCCAAGGGGAACTCACATTTGAAAAAAAGTTCATTACGATAGAGGAGTTTCTGATATTGAAATCATTGGGATTTCATCTATATGAGAATACAGGGATGAAGGTATCAAACACAAATATATAGAGAAATAGATTTATGTAAATAATATTTAAAGGAAAAGCAGAAAAAGAGACTCAGATATAGGAATGGCTAAACTTCAGCCTTGCCTATTCTGACTATCTAATGCTCTTTGAGACCTCTAAGAGCTGTTAGAGTTCTGTTATGATTGGATTGAAGATATATATATATATATATATATATATATATATATATATATATACATATATATATATATATAATTTGTCACCTATTTAGAACATTCAATAAAATTCTAGAAAACTTGCTGTTGCTTGATTCCACCAGCTAAAATAAACATCAATAAAATTTTAGGTAAGCTGCTGAGCCTTAGATTCAAGAAATCTTCAGAGCTGCGGAGGTGGCCCGCTGAGCAAAACGCTTGCTGCCCAAGCGTGAGGATCCACGTTCTAATGCCCAGAAGGCACTGAAAAAAATGTGATGTGTGGCGATGGTATCCACTTCGTTCTCCAGAGGAGTATTTGGGGAATCTAAGTCACATGGGAGACAGTGGCTACACTTCGGGTTTCCGTCATGAGTGCAGTTGTCACTCATCCACTCTGAATGATGTCTGACGTCTTGCCTGTGGAATGACATCCTTCCTTCCTGGCTCATCGGCTATCCAACAACTCACATATTCCTGTGTGCCAGGAGCTTGCCTTGACACTGTGGAATGAGTAAGCATGCGCTCTCCACACAGAGGAATCCTGTGCACTTTAGTTATATGGACTTTTTTTTTTTCACTACCAGAATTCAACTAAATAAGAAGAAACATTTACAATAAAAAACAAAAGCCAAATGCTTGCATTAGGACATTTACTTCAAACTAAGTCATCATGAGACTAGTGATCAGTGTCCGGGTATGTCACTTGATCATTAGAGCCTTCTGTGCCAGGTCTGTGCAGGGCTCCTGGGAATTACAGTCACTTCAGAAAAACAAGAAATCCTCGCGAGGGCGTTCTCAGTTTTGGAGGCTCAGCGCAGAGAACAGAGGAGCTGGGCTTTTCTCAGTCTGTAGAGCGAGAACCTCGGCTCCAGGAACTGAGTTACATCAGGCCCACTCTGGTTCTTTAGGAAGCTGGAACCTCAGCACGTCACACTAGCCTCAGGGCGAAGGCCAGGCCCCGCCCCGCCCGAACGCCCCGCCCCGCCCGGACGCCCCGCCCACCGTGGGTCCAGCCCCGCCCCTCACAAACGCCCCGCCCCCGGGCCCTGCCTACGGCGGTGACGTTCGCAGCGCTGCCCCGCCCCCTGCCCTGACGGCGGCGGAAAGATGGCGGAGTTGGACATCGGGCAGCACTGCCAGGTGCAGCACTGCCGGCAGCGAGGTGACGCTGGAAGCCCCATCCCCGGCCGCGGGAGACCTGGGCCGGGTTCTGACGGCCGGGGCGGTGGCGGCGGGTGAGGGGGGACGCGGGGCGCGAGCGGCTTTCCGGGGTGGTGGTGGTGCTTTAAGCTGCTGTCCTTCAGTGCAGGGGCGCAATTTAGGGCCTCCTTGTTTCCACTCAGATCTGGAGAGCAGACCTTGCAGGCTTCTCGGGGTTCCAAGTCATCCTGGGTCGCGAAGGGGCGTAGATCAGGGACTCACTGCGACCCTGGCGCATCCACGACTTAGGCTTTTTCTTCAGTAGTTTTTTTGTTTGTTTTTGCCAGCCCAATGAGTTGAACCTCAGTTTTTAAGTGTGTGTTCGCAGGTTTTTAGAAATCTCGGAGTGTCTGAACCTCAGGCTATTTCAGCGGGTCTTTAGGCACTCTCCGACTCTGAACAGCGTTGATTTTGGTGCTAGATTCACTTAAGTGGTTAGTGGCAGAGTAGTAAACTGCATTTTAGGAAGATACCTCCATTGAGCAGATAGATAGATACCCGGTCATAAACATAGGCCCTGTATGTAGGTAGCAAGCTTCAGGGTGTTCAAGCATTAGACACAGTCGTTGCCTACTGGATCGCACTCCAAATTTGTGTACAGGGTTTCATCCCGCTGCAGCGTCAGTCAATTTGTAGCAAGTTCCTGAATCCAACTCTTGGATGTGTCCCGGGTTGGGTGTGATAAGTGCAGTAAGACAACAGGGCAGGTGACGTAATTCTTTATTACTTATCTATGACCTTTACCGTGGGCTGTATAGTAATGATCAAAACTTGTTTTCGTGTAGTATTTTCCTATGGAAGCTTAGCTGTTTGGGTTTGGCTCTTGAGTTATACACATCTGGTCAGACTGATTTACATTAGAATCTCTAAAAGTGTCTGCTGCCTGTGATACAGCTCATCCTTTCCAGCTGAACATACCTTTAGTGTTATTAATTAAGATGAGGCCTGTTTCTTGGATAGCAGAAGAGGGTTAAAATTAAGTGACGATATCAGACACTAGGGAGTTATCTTGATCATAACTCTTCATGGGCTTCCTTGAATGGCGTATATAATGTTTGCTTGAACACTCTAAATCTCAAAATATCAAACATGCCCGATTTTTCACATTGAAAGACGTCGTGGGCCAGTGAGATGGCTCAGTGAGCAGTCTGCAACCCAAAGGCCCAGGACTTCTCTGATGGACAGGAGCAGTGGTACTAGTACAGAAAGCTCATATATTCAGAGGGCACTGGCAGGGGTAACTGAGAGAGACCCTGCCCCAAAATCATGGTGGAGAAATAGAACCGATTCCTAAAAAGGTATCATCTGACTTCCATGTGTGTCAAAGCACCGAAAACACACACACAAACACACACACAAACAAATAATAAAAATAAATCTAAAAACAGATATAAGCATTTTGCAGATTATTATGTTTCAGTTTTTCACAGTGACACATGTGTCTCTAATTTCCTGTTATGACATTAAAGCTCACAGTATCACTCTTTGTTTAATAACAGCAGTGATAGTTCACCAGGTACATTTTAGTTGAGAGAAAATTCAGGCCCTTTGTCTGCAAGCATGATTACCTTGAGGATCCCTTTTGTTTACATATAGCCTCTTTGCATTTTGTACTAAGATATCCAATAGTGTGCCATCTTTTCTAGAATATTATAGTTTATTTGTTTTTGTTTTTGTTTTTTTTTTTTCTAAAGGAGACTGAGAAGTATCTTTTGGTTTTCATTGTGAAAATAATATGATTGGGCATATCTGGTGTCATATGGCTACTTGATATAATTTAATATATGAAATATATTGAAGTCAATGTAGAAAAGTGATTAAATCAAGTACGGTGGCTCACACCTATATTTCTAACACTCTACAATCTGAAGTTTAGAGGAGTTTAGAGGTCAGTCTGGGCCAGGTGAAACCTTGTGTCAAAAAATAAACACATAAAAGGTGATTAATTATCTTTATCAATAATTAGTTTCCATGTCTGACAAGTGATACTTGTGTAAACTTTCTAAAATATATGTCTATAGACAGCATTAGGATGAAATAACTAATAAGGAATGATAGATTCAGATACAGATTATATTGACACACATACATACAGACACACACACATGTATATACAACAGTGTATACTACATCATGTATAGCCATGGCTTTTTTTAGGTAATCTAAATTGATGTTCAGTGGAGTCAGAATTAAAACCCAGGATTTTCATGACAAATATAGACCTTCTGCAACAACAAGGCCTGGCAAATCTCAGAAACAAAACAAAAAAGAAAAATTCTACTTTTTTTTTTTTTTTTTTTTTTTAACTTAATGATGTTTGTAACATCTCTCTCCCGCTGGTTTATCCACTAGAGCTGAGGATTTGGTAGTTTTTGTTTAGTAGGAATGACATAGTAACTTGCCACAGAGAAAGACAATTTTTCTTTTAGAGTTGGTCACTCGATTTCTTTTGCTTAGGAAAAGTAAATCAAAATCAGATACTGACCAGTACCTGTCATATTTTCCTCCAATTTTAGATTTTCTTCCATTTGTGTGTGACAGTTGTTCAGGAATATTTTGGTAAGTTAAGTTTTTGGGTAGAATTTGAAAAGAATTTTGTTGTTTGTCAATATGGAGTTAATTTCTGAACACTATAATGATTTATGGTTTTAACTTTGTCCATTGACAGTTGATATTTTGTAATAACTTGTGAAAAAGATAAACTGATGACTCATAATTATACATAGTATGTCATTAATCTTTAAGTGTCCAGAAATGCAGTCATAAATGTGGATTTTAGTTTAAGATTATGTGTCGTAATTACAATGAGAAAATAATACCCATAAAATAAAGGCTATGGCTCTTAAAAAATCCAGCCATGATTATTCTGTGGATTTTAATTAACATGGAAAGAGTCCAACCTAAAATGTTCTTAAAACCAACATTGCATGCTGATTGACACAAATCTTGCAAGCATGACCTGTGCAGTACTCAGGGATTTGGGAAGTCATGCCCTGACATGTCGTACGATCATTTAACTGATTCCTTCCCGGAGAAACTAACATCCCCATCGTTCACATGCTCCCTAAAACACTCACAGTAAAGATAACCAGAAGGTGTGTTGTTCTTATCAGCGGCAGGTGAGCATTTGTGGCTGAAAATGCTCGAGCTTGGAGATGTGCCTTCTTTCCATGGATTTCAGTTTGCTCTTTCGTGACAGTCACTAGTACAGTGAACATAATGTGACATGTTAAAGTGGTCTGCCTTACTTCAGGTAGCATGAAGTGCATTAACTGATCGGATTTAAAGCCAGGAGTGGCGGTGCATGCCTGTAGTCCCAGCACTGGGGGAAGGAGGCAGGCAGATCTCTGAGTTCGAGGCCAGCCTGGTCTACAAAGCGAGTTCAGGACAGTCAGGAATACACAGAGAAACGCTGTCTCAACCAAACCAAACTCTACAAAGCGAGTTCAGGACAGTCAGGAATACACAGAGAAACGCTGTCTCAACCAAACCAAACTCTACAAAGCGAGTTCAGGACAGTCAGGAATACACAGAGAAATGCTGTCTCAACCAAACCAAACAACAGCAAGAAAAACTGACCTTATGTAAATAAACTGTTTTTTTTAATTACTTCAGCCTTGAGCACAGAAGCAAGGACTCTCATGGCTGTCCTGAGGTATGCCTCTTTTCTCTTATCTGACCTAATTTATATATGTGTAATCATGTACTTCCTTTTAGAATTGATTAGATTTAATGCTAGTATACCAGGCATTAAAGTTTAGAATTTTTTGCTGCATCTCTTCCATTTTTCTCTGTTTGGGAGAAAACTTGTTCTGTTTGGCATTTACCCATTTTGCCCTCATGGTTTTTATTCCTTGTGGTTCTGTTTGGGGAGCCCGTGCATATCATGAAGGTGTGCACTTGTGAGACACGCTGGCCTCTGCTCCCACATCACACTGTCCGCCAGCTCACTGTTCCCCTCATTGTAGCAGTTGTTTTTGCTGGCGTCTGGTGATAGGGTTCCATGGCAGTCAAGTTTATGGGGACCCAGTCAGCCTTAGACCACAAAGAACAGACCCTTAGTCCAACTAAATAAAATCCTTAACCCGATTCCAAACAGATGCACAGATTGAGAAGGGAGGTCGCAGATAGAAAGCAAATTCACACTGTATCGCTACTAATAAAGGATGATGCTGGTGGCGAGCAAGATGGATCTTCTTCGGAAATGGGAAGCAGCTGTGCACAGTAAACTGGGCACAGTGGTGCACTCCTGTGGTCCCAGCTCTCAGGATGTGAAACACAAGTACTGAAAATTCAGAGCCAGTGGAGTATTGCAAAGCAAGACCCAGTCTTCAAAAAATAAAAATAAATAAATAAATAAATAGAGAAACTAAATAGTCATTTTAATTTAAAACATAATTATAACACATTAGAAAAGTTATGACAATGTGGATGAGTAAGCCTTATAATCATTTCTCATACAATCTTTACTTGTAATTTTTGTGTAAGAATATATCACCTAGTCTAAGAAATTCAAACTGAAATGATAATGGATGATGCCTTCTAACACTTGCTTTTGTGTTGTTTTAAATGGATCTATAGCACCATTTCCCCCTCTTATGGTGTTAGGTGAATGTCATCAAGGAGAGACTGAAGAGAGATGAACACAAATCTTACCCATGCTCACTCAAGGACTGTACTGAAGTAGAGCTCATGGAGGTGATATGTCCTTATTGTGAGAAGAACTTTTGCCTAAGGTAATCGCCTAAGCCATGCAAGCTTTGTGTATGTGTTTAGCGTGTATAAATCATGAACAAGTGCCAGCTCCTCTGTTACTTGTAGACACCGTCATCAGTCAGATCATGGGTGTGAAAAACTGCAGATCCCACAGCCTCGAATGGCTGCCACACAGAAGCTTGTCAAAGACATTATTGGTGAGTCCCAGCAAGCTGCTGCAGCTGCCGTGCTCCCGGTGGACACCTGTTATGTCACTGCTCCTTTGAATTCTGCGCACGAGTGTTTGGGCTGTGTGTATGTCTGTGTACCACTTGTATGCCTGGCACCCTTGGAAGGCAAAGAGGGTATCAGATCCCCTGGAACTGGAGTTATGAGCCATGTTGATGCTAGGAATTGAACACAGATCCTCTGGAAAAGCAGCCAGTACTCATAACAGCTGAGCCCTCTCTATAGCATCACAAACTTGTGTTTTGATGACATTCTTGTCAGCACATTTTGTACAAAGCCTTTAGGAAATGGTAAGGTTTCCATTAGGTGATCTGCGTTGTTGGGCAGCGTTAATCCGATGTTAACAGCTGAAGGTAGGGATGTTGATGAGGCTGGCATGGCGGACTGCCCTGTCTACAGGGTAAATTCTGCTAAGCTGTGTCCCAGATGCCACTGATAATATGAGGCACAGGAGAGAGCGTGGCTGAAACATAGCTTAGTTTCTCCGGCAATTTGTTAGCTCAGTAGAACTTTTATTCCACATTTAGGGTGGTGTCCTTGTTAATAGCTGCAGTGTTTTATAAAAGCATTAGTAGTTGCCTTAGATTAAATAGGTTAGGTGAGAAAGAAGTGTGTGCCTATGGATTTTCTGTGGCAGAAGTTACTTAGATCGACCGTTAGTAATGTAAATATACTTAATAGAGCTGTACTGTGCAGGGTACAGATGCTGAAGGCCACAGTGGTGAGGCTGGGCATGGTGGTGTACTTCTATAATCTCACCAGAGGCAGGTGCCGCTCAAGCCAGCCAACGTTACAAGGGGAGACCTTGTTTTCTCAAAACAAGAGGAAAAAAAAGGACAAGTAGGAAAAAAATGAAAGAAAACAAAATCGGGAGATTGTGGTGGAAAGGGCTTACATGCTTACTCTTCTTCCTTAGACGCCAAGACAGGAGGGGCAGCTAGTAAGGGACGGAAAGGCTCGAAGAGCAGCGCGACAGCCGCGAAGGTGGCGCTGATGAAGCTGAAGATGCACGCCGTCGGCGATAACTCCCTGCCACAGGTGAAAAAGCAGATGTGCCGCATGATTCTGAGGCCTTTCTCTTCCTCTCTTTAACTGAACGCAGCGTAAACCTGATATGTAGTGTTTTTAAAGACCACATGCCGTAGCGTCTACATACACTACAGCTCTGCATTTTCCCACCTTACAGAGATGGCAGTGAAGCGTACATATCCTTCTTCAGTGTTTTCCCCAATTTGCGCCATATTTTTAAGATTTCTCTGTACTTGTGTCTAGTTCATTCAGTAGCTACACATTATTCTGTTTTATGACTACAGCCTACTTTATTTCTGTCAATAACCTCAGATTTATTCACTGCATTGCTATTAACAAGTGTTCTCCAATGAAGATGCTTTGTTTAGGGACGGGAACTTCTCAAGATTGTATTTTGAAAATCCAACTCTCAGGAGACAGATGTAGGATGTAGGAGATCAAGAGTTTAAGGTTAACCTGAGCTATGGAATGAGTGCCAGGCCAGCCTGGGAAAAACTCAGAAGATACAAGCATACATAGTTACATGCTCAAATACAGATTCATTAATTAACATTTAGTCATGTGTCCCAGTTCGCTTCTCTGTTGCTATGACAAAACACTGACCAAAAACAACTCAAGGGGTTTTATTTGAGTTTCCATGTCACAGTCCATCATTGAGGGAGGTCAGGGCCTGAACTCAGGCAGGAGCCATGGAGGAATGCTGCCTAGTGGCTGGCTTACCTGCCTTGCTCAGCCTGCTTTCTTATACAGCTCAGAACAACCTGCTCTGGGTTGGTGCTGCCCACAGGGGCTGGGCCCTCCTCCATCAATTAGCCATCCAGGAAATGCCACACAAACATGCCAACAGGCCAGTGTGGTAGAGGCAATTCCTCAGTTAAGGGTTCTTCCCAGGTGTCTCTAGCTAGTTTGCGTAAAGTCAGTAAAAACTATTCAACACAATATGTTATACAGTTTGTATATTATATATAAAATCTATCTGTATACATACATACATACATACATACATACATACATACATGCATATATACATATACAAAAAGCTCCTCAAAGTCAAGATGAACTTGTAGAATCAATAAACTTAAATTTTAAGTCAAAGTAATGAATATAGCAAATCTAAAAAGACAAAGTTTTGGAAAGGCACAGTGAGATACATTATGTAATATTGCCCATAAAAAGGAATGCATTATAAAATGAAATCAAGTGGAAATAAAACACGATATAAGTATCCAAGAGGAAAAAAAAAAGTTAAAAATATGGCTTCTTGCATGTATGCACGTGTGTGTGTGTGTATACGTAATCAGGTAGATTATGTAGTTGTGTCTCTGAATTTGCCTAGTAGAAAAAACCAGAAGGGTGCTAACACTGCTGAAATTGTCTTTTAAAATGTTCGTCATATTCCATGATACATCCCACTGACCCTCAACAAATCCAAATCCCTTTCTGCTGAGACAGGAATTGTTTCCACTCTATTATTTCTTAAGATAATGTCAGTTGTTCTCCAGCATTTAAATTAGAGATGTCTCACTCGGAGCGTTTTTATTTTACAGAAATTGACCTTCCTACAGAAGACAGCCTCCCTAAAACAGTTTTTAGGAATCAGGGAAGATTCTATTCCCACTATTTTTTTTTTAACTAAACATAATTAAATAATAAAATTCAACTGAAGAAAACAAATAAGACACAGATTATATTAGAAAAGTTTCTGAAACCCTACTTTATTAGTAAAGTATTTTTCTACTTTAAATTGTACTTTAATTTTGTACTTGCTTTGTTCTCAGAAATCTTGATACCTCTGATATGTAGCAAAGTCTTTCACATGTTTTTGTAAGAAGAAGTCCTGTCTCGAAAGTGACAGGAGCTTGATGTCAGGAAGTATAGTTGAAATCAGTTTGTTTCCTCACACAAGAGAACAGAGGGACTGTGTAAGGGGCTCTGACGCTGTTGAATGATTCATCAGTTTCTTGATTTCTCTCTATTCATGCTGAATTCATTCTTAACTCAGGAATGGCTGAGAGATCTGAGGAAGCCTACAGTCCAGGTTGCAATCACTACAACTCAACAGAGAGAGAAAAAAAAAGAGAGTTCCTCTGCCTCCAGTTCCTGAACATTAAATAAAAGGGGAGGGGGGACTGGAAGGGAGTGAGGGAGAAGGCTACAGCTGGGATACAAAGCAAATCAAATGTAATTAATAAAAAAAAAATATATATTTTTTAAGTCACACAACTGTCATTACACAGATCCCTTAACTAGGGTTTTGAGTCTTTGGACGTGCAGTTAGGTAGGCGGGCTACAAGACTGGTTTTCCCGTTAAAACTTACATCATTATAGGGTTATCCTATGTTGACCAAAAGAAGAGGAAAGAGCCTGGAGTGGTGGCACATTCCTTTAATCCCAGCACTCTGGCAGGCAGACGCAGTGGGATCATTGTGAGTTGGAGGCCAGCCTGGTCTACAAAGTGAATCCAGGACAGCCAAGGCTACACAGAGAAACCCTATCTCAAACAACCAAGAGGTGGGCACGGGGGAGGAAAAGGCAGCACTAGCTGAAAAAGCCATGTCTTATTTCATGTGTCTAAGCTATATGTTAACTTTTTCTTACACAGACAGAAAGAATTTACTTTCAGGTTTACCTGCCAAAAGGGAGCAAAGAGAAGAGCAAAGCCATGTTCTTCTGCCTCAGGTGGAGCATTGGGAAGGTCGTGGACTTCGCAGCCTCTCTAGCCAGTCTTAGAAATGAAAACAACAAGCTGACAGCAAAGGTGATGTCTGGTTACCAATTTCCCTTATGTTTTGGGATGTGTTGTTCACAAGTACATCGTTACCACTGTGTGACTTGTCTCTGTCTCGGCAGAAGCTGAAGCTGTGCCAGGTCCCTTCAGGGGAAGCCTTGCCGTTGGATCACACTTTGGAAGCGTGGATCACTAAGCAGGACTGCCCTTTATATAATGGAGGAAATGTTATTTTGGAATATCTAAACGACGAAGAGCAGTTTTTAAAAAATGTTGACTCCTACTTGGAATAGTCATTCAAGAATTCAAGTCAGAATTTACAAGCAGGAATTATTCTATGTAGATAATCAATTTCTTTTACTGCAAATACTTTTTAAGAACTCTCAAAGTTGTTTTTTTATGTTTTATTTCTATCAGGTCATAACTTACATCAATAGTTTTCTATTAAGTTCCATGTTTTATGTTTAAAGCTTAACTATGTATTGGTAGTTATTGGCAAAGTACTATTTTTATTAGTTGTTTCTGGATTAGGCTGTAGAACTATCAGCCAAAGTGTCTTTTGTGTTAGGCTAATGCCAGCTGTTGACTGACAGCTGTGGCACGTTCTAATACCACCTCCACCCCACAATCCACCTCACACAACACCCACCTTTTTGTGATTTTGCCATTCTGTGGCAGAGGCATTTAGCAGATGCTTCAGTGAGGTCTTACAAGTAGTACTTGTTGCCTTTGTTTTAAACAAGTCCTATGATTAAGCCTAATATTATGGGCCCAGAATACATAGCCTTACTGTATACCCAAATCATGATATATGAATTGATATATGCACATGAATTGCAGAATCTTCGAGATTCTCTCATTTGGGCTTCCAAGCATTTGGATAAGAAACCTCATACCTTAGAGGGAAAGTTATTTTTTTGGTATCATGTAATTGCACTGGATGTATTTCTGGTAATCAATTTTCTCCAATAGGATTCATCTTTTTGTTGGTATGAATCTATTACAATGATGGAAATAGACTAACTTTGTTAGAGTCTGTTTCACTGTACCAAAGCAAAACAATTATTGCATTTTACCTATAAATTGAAATGTCCTTTTGGGGAACGCTTCCTTTTACACTGGAGGAAAATGAATGTTTTCTGTCTATACTGGATAAAGGACTACACTATAGAAGCAAATAAAGTATTCTTAGTTGCTCCTCCCCTTTTTCTGTGCTGATTTTCATGACTGTAATGTTAAAGGGTCTACTTAAATCCAAAATAACTCAAACACCATGTCTATGCAGATGACAAAAATTTATTGTAATCAAGCCACTACTTATTGATCATGGCCACAGAATAGACTTGGAAGCTGAACTGTAACGGTGAAGGGACATTGTACAGCATATTTAAAGGATGAAACTATAAAGTGAGGGGGAGCAGGGTGGGCTGGGGCATTGTCCAATCATATCTTGACATAAGGGGTTGAGCAAAAGAGTTTCCATCAATCAGGATAGGAGTAGGTTCCTGGGCCTAGGAACATGAACTTAGTTGATCCTGCCAGAAAGATGGAGAAGTTGTCACTGAGATGTCTGGACTCAGACAACTGTCTCATTACAGCAGAAGCTGGTCAGCTTTTGGGAAGTCCCAGCTCCTCTAGGGCTTGAGACCTTGAACTTAGTTTTTCCCTATGATTAAGTGGAATTAAAAAACAAAATGGTAGTACTTAGACAAAGTTACTTGTGCTTGTTCCCAACAATAAATTTAATTAGAGGAATAAACTCAGCATGTTCATTTGGTTCTTTTCTGCTCTGTCATTTTCATGTTCATATCATAAATAGTGATAATTTCTAGCTTTCTTCAGGTTCTAAATTCATTCTTTTATAGTTACCTGATATCTACCTGAAACATTAATGTCTAATTGCCAATGGAGGCATAATGAAGATATAACTCAGATAGAAGTTATACTTAGAACTGTCATACACAGTTGTAAGGCAAGTTGCAAATGAGTGAATAGACAGTACAGCTATGTTCCAGTAGCTCATTTATTAGAAACTATCAAACAAGAGATAGAAATAGACTTTAAAAACCCATATGCCAGAGTTTTTTTGAGATACCAGAAAGTTGTAATACCAACCAATCACAATTCTTACACATAATAGGTGGCCAGAACATGTAATTGAATGAAAATTAAATATTCCAGAAAAAGAATACCTACTGAGAAGAGTGCAAATGTGGCTGGCTGGAATTGAAACCTAGAAAGAATGAAAAAAAAAAAAAAGTCTTCTCTCATTGACCAGACAAAAGAGACGAGACTGTCCAGAGATGGACTTATAACAGTGGACACACTGGCCATCAGCTAGGTCAAGTCCTAGATGGTGGAACCTGCAGGGCTGGAGAATGCCAGGGATGAGCATCCTTGGTACTAAGAACTGGCAGCTAGGGCATGCATATTCTAAAGCAAACGAGGTATGGGCGAGGATCTCAGTCCTCTTAACTCCCTGTGTCCAAATAAATACTTGGAAAGCAGAACTCTCGGACTGCAAGTTAAGTCTGCCTAAAGAAATGGGAGGGTTGCACTGTTCCCATCATACCTTGTATTTTTACTGGCCGACAGTTAAAACTGTAATGGAAATGCACAAAACAGTGTAGATGAACAGTTGAAATGACACTTTGATACTAATGAGCTTCAGTCTAAAGAATGAAGTAATACACGAGAAAACTGGATGATAGGATTCATCCTAGCTATATTTGGCAGGTTATGATTGTGATGTTATCAGATATGAAGAAGGATTTGGAGAGCTGAAAGACAAAAACAAGTGAACAAAGAAACAAAAACTCTAGATAAAGTGCTTGGGGAAAAAAGCAGACACTTAACATTGCTTAGATCTGGTTAAAGTCGTGCATTAAGGTATTTGGTCATGTAAAGGTAACTGTTAAGGTTATTTTTATAAAATTGTGTTTGTTTCTTTCTTACCCTGGCTCCATTATATCATTTTGACAAGCTTCACAGCACAGTCCTGAGCAGTATTAACTCTATTCTTAGCCCTCTAAGCTAATTTGGCTTCCTCCCAGCATACATCTCAGAAATACTTGCACTTTGTAGCTTTTCTGCTCCAACTTCTTCTCTGATGCCTCTTGAATATTTGCCTGTGGTTGAATCCCCTATTTACTCTTCTAACTCCTCTCCTGGCTGGTAGGAAGTCCAGCCCTATTCTCTCTACTGGCCTGCTCCGTGATAGGCTGTATGCTGCTTTATTAGCATAGCATGGGACAGTTGGGGAGGAGTGTTTACACAACATTGAGACAGTAGATTCTCATAACAAGAATTGCAACCAGATATGGGGGAAGGGGTACAGAAACCAGCATTTGAACTGCACAATAACCTTATGACTACAGGTAATTTTTAAAAGTTAGGTTATTTAGTTTCAGCGTGTGGAGACACTTGTGTGTTATCAGAGGACAACTTGTAGGAGTTGGCTCTTTCCTACTGTGTGAGCTCTGGGGATCAAATGCAAGTGTTCACCTTGGCAGCAAGTCCCCTTACCCACCGATATATCTCAGTTGGCTCTTTATTCACTTTGACAGGTTCTTAGTATGTACCCCAGGCTGGCCTTAACCTTGACTTTTCCTGCCTTAGCCTACCCAGGGTCGGGTGTTTTTGTCACTTTAAAGTTTCTTGGGAAGCTGATTGTGGCAGCTCATGCCTTTAACCCCAACTCTAAGGAGGCAGAAGCAGATGCAGATCAGTGAGTTCAGGACCAGCCTCATCTACATAGTGATTTCCAGGACAGGCATAGCCTCACAGTGAGACGTTGCCCTAAGAAAGGTTCCTTGGGAATTTGACTGGTGTCACTAAGCAGATTACCCCTATTCCCTGTTCTCACCATTGGCAAATGTGTCTTAATGTCGTACATGGGAATAAACCCATAATGCCAAATTTAAAGATTAACCTACCTACACAGCCTTTTAAAAAAATCTGTCAAACTGAAAATGCCATGATGATGCTCATTACTTCTGTATTCTGACATACACACAAAAGAATAGACATTTGTAGTAGTGGTAGTGAGGGGGGTTTATTGTTTTATTTTTTCTGCTTCGCATCCTCTCATTTGGGAAAGTGCATCTGTAGATTGCTTTCCTCATCCATGGAAGCTGAGGCACAGTTAGCTCACTGCCAATGACCCTAGACGTGCACAGTGAGTCATGTTACAAAGAAAGACTAGGACATTTGAAATACAGCCAGTACCTTTCCACTATCGAATTCTAAGTATCCAGTAGCCGTGTAGGCAGGATATACCTTTGACCACCTACTCAGTATGTTTTTAAGTTAACCGGTGACTGGTTTCCTACTTACAGACACCAAGGCTATCTTAAGAGTTTGTTTTGCCTGGTAAAATTTCTCTAGAACTCTAGAGCAATTGCTAGAACTCTAGAAGGATGATCTCAAGGCCAACCAGTGTAGCCAATGATGGCAGCCACATGACTAACCTCAAGAGAGCAAAGTTCGTACCTAGCCGAGTCCCTGGCTCTCAGTTTAAAGGTCCAGTGTTTGGGTGTAAGGCAAGGTGCATAGGGCATCTGCTTCAATTTCTAATTGTTTGTGTCCCTGAACAAGGAATTGGACTAGGAACAGACACATGGGTGGTGATAGGAAAAGATATAGTTTATTAAGAAAGTTTTTCCAAAGGTGGAACGGGGCCAGGCCTGGAGAAAGAAGTTTACTGGTGCCTGTTCAAAGCAGATTGGCACATCTGTACTACACATAAATAGCTATCTGTCTATCGATCTATCTATCTATCTACATGCTCTGTTACAAGACAGCCTTGGTAGAAGGGGCTTCCAGTCTTTCAGCTAACTGGCTTCTTCCATATGCCAGTTTTCACTCCTCTCTGTCTCCATCTCTCTCCCTCACTCCCTCTCCCCATCCCCCTCCTCCACCTTTTCTCTCCCCATGACACACTCTCTTGTCACACCAGCATGCCAGCATGTAGCAAGGCTGTTTGAGTCTGACTTGCTGGAGTGGTAATACTATCTCCAAGCTATAGTATCTATCTTAGGTTTTTGTTCTGTTTTGATTTTTTTTCCTGGTTTATTATTTTCCTTAGGACAAGAGAGAACTAAAAAGTACTAACTCCAAGAGTTTATTCTCAGGTAATAAGGAACGCAGGAAGAGAGATTAGGGTTTTGTTTGTGGTAAATGACATCTGTTAAATGCAAGGGTTTAGTTTTCTGTTTGCTGAGCTACAAGTTAAACTGGTTGTGTCACTCCCTGTTCAAAGTACAACAGTCCCTCCTCCTGCACCTTGATTGGCCAAACCCTTACTCTTGCCTAAGCCACATTTACACCTTCAGTCACTGAAGACCTGTAAGAAGAACGCTCTTTTGTTTTTCTTAATAAATCTGAGTGGGCATGTATGGTTTGTTTAAACTTTAAACATGTTTTGGAAATCTTTTATAATTGTATTTTTGTTGGTGACCTCAGGAGAAGCAAGGAAGACATTTCTCAGTTTTCTGAACATACAAAATACAGATATACTGTCGTTTACAAAAACAGAAGAAACTGTCATTGTAAGGTCCAGCTATAAAGATAAACGGCCTAACTCCAGCTACCTCTCTGTGAAGTCAGAAGACCCTAAAGTGCTGAAGGTGGTGAATGTGACCAAGACCTCACTGGGCATCATAGACTTTGCCATCAAACTCATGACCTTTCCAGGAGAGACGAATCTGACCATGCAGCTCTGGGATTCTGAAGGTAGGCAAAAGACACTCATCGAAGAGATAAAGAATGTCAAAGTGAGAGTGCTCAGACAGACCAAGGGCGGCAGCCTTTTCCAGGCACCGGTGCCTGTCAACGGATACATCTTTGTGCTTCTTTTATCGATGATCTTTTTAAATAAATGTGCCTTTGGCTGCAAGATTGAATTGCAGGTACTTCAAACAGTATGGAAGAGACCTTTGCCAACACTTCTTGGGGCGGCTATACAGTTTTGTCTTATGCCATTCTGTGGTTTTCTTTTGGCTCAGATTTTGGGACTGCCGAAGGCACAAGCGTTCGGATTTGTAATGACCTGCACATGTCCAGGAGGAGGTGGGGGCTACCTTTTTGCTCTCCTTCTGGAGGGAGATGTCACTTTGGCCATTTTGATGACTTGCACATCAACGTCTCTGGCCCTGATAATGATGCCCATCAACTCTTACCTATACAGTAGGCTATTAGGGTTGGCAGGGATATTTCATGTTCCTGTTTTAAAGGTTGTGTCTACTCTTCTTTTCATACTTATACCAATATCATTTGGTATAGTCATCAAGCACAGGGCACCTGAAAAAGCAATCTTTCTAGAGAGGGTAGTAGGACCTCTGAGTTTGACTTTAATGCTTGCAGGGATCTATTTGGCTTTTCAGATGGGCTTGGTCTTTCTGAGAATGGCTAGCCTACAAGTGTTTCTTTTGGGGCTTTTGATTCCTGCACTGGGCTTTTCATTTGGCTATGCCTTTGCTAAAGTCTACATGCTGCCTCTTCCAGTTTGCAAAACGGTTGCTATCGAAACTGGGCTATTGAACAGTTTCTTAGCGCTGGCCATTATTCAGCTCTCTTTTTCACAGTCCAAGGCATATGAAGCTTCTGTAGCACCTTTTATAGTAGCCATGTGTTCCGGGTGCGAAATGTTACTGTTCCTTCTGATCTACAAGGCCAAGAAAAGACAGATTCTCAGCATAGAAAATGAAAAAACTTCTCTAGTCTAAAACTTACAGCACCCTTAATTATAATCCTGGCTGGTGTACTGTAGGAGATTCGAACTACACATAAAATAATGCCTTTCTAAAGTCACAGTAAAACTTGTTAAAAGCTTGACATGGGAAGTGAGGAAATTATTCCCTCCAATACTTTCATTGTATGTTTGATATGTGTGTGTGTGTAACATATGGGTGTGTATGCTGTTACATACATACGTGTGTTTGTGTGTGTGTGTGTGTGTATTATCCATTACCCATGCTTTGTGTGTACCTGTGACTGACACAGTACATACTGAGAAGGGGGATTATGATACCCTTGCAGTGTGTTAGTTTGGTATTGATTTTATAATCTCTTAATGAGGAACAGCAATGGGAAGAATCAGTGACTCTTGTCTATCCTAAGTTTTTAGGGAAAGAATGTCCTTATGAAGGGGCAGTAAATGCTGACTCAGGGAATGAGCATGCAAATTCCTACCCGGCATCGCCACTACTTCATTTAGAGGCAGTGTGTCTTGAAGCTTTGTTTTCACAGCCACATGTGCTTCTGACTTCTGTACTCCCCACCAAAGGCACTGCCACTTATCTGGAAAAGACAGCTCCGTCATCTGTCCTTTTTAAAAATGGTCAACTTCATTTTTGCAAAATGTTTCATCTGATACCTGCACCAGCTTCCTCCCTATTCCCAGAGCTATTGCTTTTGTTATTGCTTCCCTAAACCTTTCCAAACTGCCTTTGGCTTTAATTCTACTTAGTCACATTAATCTTATAAAAGTCTAACTTGGATTGCATAGTTTCCTTGCAAATGGTACAAAACCTGTTTGCCATCTACATAAAGCTTTGGTAAAGCATTTGTGCATTCTATTCAATACAACTTTCCAGTTTGTTTTCTACAACTTCTTGACATAAAAGTCTTTGCGTGCCATTAGGGCTTTGACTCAGGTTCTGACTCTGCATAATGCACAGGTTTTTGTATTATCCGGATCTTTGCTTTTGTATAAAGCAGAGTTTAGTGTCTCTTGGATGTACCTTGTTTTTTAGGACAAGAGGGATGCCAAGAGTGCCTTAGCCGGCACTCAGGAAGCTGAGGCAGAGGGCTGCTGTGACTTTGAACCTATCCTAGTCTCATAAGTGAGTTCCAGGATAGCCTATAGCAAGTAATCATCAATAAACAAATAAATACAGAAAGCACTGATGGGCCAGGTTTAAATTTTATCTTTACTTTTTAAGTTTGTAGTTCTTAGGAGTGATAAGTCCACTCCACTATTCATAGAATAACAATTCTATGATAATGATATATATCCTTATAACCTGGAACCTGCTAACACTACAAAAAATGTTAGATATTTTGACTAATATTTGCAACTCCTACCTACGTTCCATAAAACATGAAATCATATTAAATAACATGGAGACAGAGTCTTCTCCTGAGTAGCTCACTTGGTCTATATAGACTTGATCATTTTACTCTCAGTCAATAATTATTCTTTTGTGGGCTTTGGGAGATCACATGGGTTTTCGTATTTGCTTAGGCTAGTAGATCAGAGCCCTCCCCTTGTATGTGTGTGTATGTGTGTTTAAAATTTCTCTGTCATCTCAGAGTTTTCCTCTTGTCATATATGGAGGTCTCTACAATGAGCAGAACCAACTTCCAAATACTCAATAAGAGGGCTTTGTACTTTGTGGCTCCAGCTTGCAGCAGTGCTATAATGGAACCAGAACATCAGACACTGTTGTGTACTTCACTATCAGAAGGCTCTTGGCAGCAAAATGGACTGTTTGTGCTGGAAAACCACTGGAGTTCCTGCTCATCTGATGTAGGAAGCTAGTAATAGCTTTAACATAAAGACGTCTGATATTTGTGCTCTCATCCATCTTATTTCAAAATGCTTACATTGATTTTAACAGCTTTGCCAAGTCAGTGGAACAACTTTCACTCATGAAAAGTTTAAAGATGGTATTTCTTCAAATGCCTAGGGAATTTCATTTGGCCTGTCAGCATGCATTTGATACAATATTTATTTGGTCTTTTGACAGGTCAAAAAAAACACAAATATTTGATGGAGGTATCCAAAGCTGTTTATTAAGGAGGCATTTTTCAGAAGGGCAGAGACAGGTCTCTGCTCTTTGAGATTTACAAATTGGATTCACATTCCTGCCACTCATCTGAGACATCATTGTACATTGTTAATAATTTCTTGTCCTGATTAAATCAAGAGAAACAGTCATTTCACAAGCAATGATGTCAGGACATTGGGTCCTCTTGTGGGTAGGTCATCTGTGTGGACTTTTCCACTTAAAAGTTAACATACCTACCATGATACCTGACATGTTTCATGTGAGGAAACATTTCAAGAACAAGAGACTAGTCCTCCTTGGTCATACAGAGCAACCTGGCTAAGCCATGTACATTCCCTGTATGTGGACTTTGCAGTCAGGGTGCTTTGCTGTGTTCTTGCTGTGTGAGTTTGGGCCAAATCTCTTAACTTCTCCAAGCCTCAGTTTCCTTATCTGTATAATGAAAGGAATCTTCATGATATTGTTGCAGCCCTTAAGCTTAAGCATGTAAGAAGACAACTGCTATCTGGTGTGGTGACACAGGCCTGCAACCTGAGAACTCCAAAAGTGAAGGCATGAGGGTCAAAGACTTCAGAAGCCAAGCTAGGCTACATACCGGGACATTGTTAAAAATCCATGGCTGGGAAACCAACCAGCTCAACCATAGAGTGCTTGTATATTATTTACAAAGCCCTGGGCGTCATCCTTAGTACTGAAGCTTGGGGAGGAGGGAAGCGGGATCGTCTTCAGCATGTCAAGTCCACAACAAACAACAACCGCTATGTCGAAGAATTACTAAGAAGAGAATTGGGGCTGACAGTCAATCATCAAAAGTTAAAAATCTCCGTTAGGCTTACCTACTACAGGTTTAGCAAATGAGAGCTGCAGTTACAGTCACAACTCCAATTCATCTGTGACCAAAGAGCAGGATGGAACGCAAAGACAAGGAAATGGGAAAACATGAACTAATAAAGACAAAAGTGGAGATTTTTCAAGATAGGGGATTCTTAGAGAAGGAAGGAGGGGTACGTAGGAGAATGCCAGAAAACACCAGCTTCAGACCCCTGACCAGGTCTTGCAAAGCCAAGGACCGCCCAGCGACCAACTCCGGGCGGAGCGGAGACGTGAGGGCGGGGTTTCTAGACGCCCGGTCCCCGCCGGAGGCCGTAAGGGGGCGGAGCTTCCTGTCGGAGCAATCCCGGTTACCTCCGGAAGAGCAGCCGAGCCGAGCCGAGCCGAGCCTTCGGACGCCGACAGTTGGGCATCGCGGGGCGCTCGCGCGAGGTGAGTCGGTTCTGTCCCTGCAACCCCGCGCAGCGTTATTCGGTGGCCAGGGCGCGGGTTCTGGCGAACTGCAAGCAGCTGCACCCATGCTGGGCCGGGGCGGAGGCCGGGCCCTCCTGCCCGCAGTGCTCTCCGTAATGCTCCGGAAACAGCCGAGCGGGTTCGTTAAGCGGTCCTCCTTGAGCTCTGAGGTTCTATGTCGCAGAGTAAACCCGACTCTGCCGAAGCCCTCAGGGATATATGTGGCAAGTTCCCTGGGTCAGATATCACAGGGTTAGGGATGGGCAGGCCCAGGTCCGGTGATGTCCTGCATGAGAAGCCAGGGCAGGTGACGGAAGTGGCACGGCTGTACAGGATAGAAACTGTTTCAGTCTGTCTGACTTTGTTCCCAAAGTGAAGGCTGATAGACTACGACCCCGTGAAAACAAGTCTTGAGGCAAATAGTCTTGAAATAAAGGGGTTTATTGAACCATTTAAATACACTAGCCAGGAAAAGAACCAAGACTTGGGGCACGTTTGGTAAACTACCGGCAACAAGGCTAAAAAGTGCCACTGATGACGTCTAGAACTAATGGTATTTTTGGATTTCAAGGCACCTCACCCCGTTAAAAAAAAAAAAAAAAGAACAAACTCCAAACAACTGTTACCAAATTGACTTGCCTTATCATTTCTCCTCTTCTGGACCTCTGTAAATTTTAGGGCATCTTAGAAAATTTGATTTATCACCCCTTCCCCTTCCTCAGTGAATACATTCCGACTGACTGAGAAGATGTAGCAGGCATACAAATGACCAAATGCTGCACAGCAACATCAGTTTTCTGTAAATGTCTTGTCTATTGGTTGATACCTGGTGTGCTGGAGAATTCCTTGAAGATATGATGAATAGCTTTTGGAATGGTCTTGGGGAATTGGTGGGTATTTTGTCACAAGGTGATGAGTAAGTGGCTTTAGCAGTTTGTGCTAAGGAAGAAGGCCCAGCCCAAGAGTGTCCAGTTGTGACGAGACAAGAAGAGTGCAATAAGAACAAGAATGATAAAGTTTGGAAACCATTCTTGAAGGGCTCTAAGGAGTTTACTCTATAACCTAAAACATAGCTTTTTATGTAGTTACTTGAATACTTGTATCACAAAGAAAGGGCACTGAGGCATGAATTCATAGCCTGCAACCCTAGCCAGCAAGCATTTTGAAGACTGAGTCAGGATGGCCAAGAGTTTGAAGCCAGCCCATCAGGCAAAAGGGAAAATAAAGCCACAACCAGCAGAATCTCGTACATCTGCTCTGTCCCCCTGTGCTTCACTTCCTGTTCAGCAGGGTGGAGATTTCAGATGCCCTCAAGAGGATGCACAGTGTCACTTGTTCTTGGTGTGAAGCAGGCAGAGTTAGTGTGGCCTTAGAAAGAAGGCCAGTTCTTCTGGCTGTGACAGCTTCCTTGCTTCCCAGTGCTGGGAACCCATGTTAGTGTGTGGTCAAGCCTGTGGTGAGTCTAAGAGGCCAGCAGAAAGCTGGCAGGTCACGTGGTTATGCTTCCCTGATCCAGGAACCCGCATTAGCGTGTGGTCAAGCCTGTGGCAAGTCACACAGTTACGCTTCCCGCTCCCTGAAGCCCAGGAGGTAAATGGCACGTTTGCTTTTATAGTAGTTTTAGACCTGGAGTTTTAGACCTTTCCTCAGAATACTGTAACGGGAAGCAAGGACTGTTCAAATCAGAATTGAGTATACATTCTGTAAAGTCTGCCCGTATAACATGGGGAGAAGTATTTCTAATCTGTGCACCTTAAATTCTTCTCCTTTACCAGCTTGTCTTTTTAAATTCCATATACAAAACACTCTACTTCCTGGAGTTCAGTTAACACAGACACCTGTGGTTCCTTTCTCCTTAAAACTGCTCCCATCCCAACCTTCCCATTGTTCTTTATTTTATTCCTCACCCACTCATATACCTAACCTTTAGACTGTTTCTTGACTTTATCTATTACCTGAGCTTCAGTTGGATCCCCACGGTCCCACACAATATGATATGGTATGGCTACTCCCCCAAATGTGATACTGTGTGGACACCTTGGCAGACAAGTTCATAGAACACTTTTTGCCTTGATAATGCTTCTCTTACATGCCTGTAAAATCCTAGCACTTGGAAAAGGGTGCTAGGACAGGGGAGTAGAAGCTAGGGCAGAAGAGGCAGGGGATCAAGAGTTCAGGGTCATCCTTGGGTATTTATTGAGTTTGGCACCAGCCTGGACTATAGGACACTATAAGGTACTGACTCAAAGCAACAACAGTAACAAAAAATTTGTGTTAGTATAAAATTGATAGTAGGAGAAAGGCGAAATATGTGATATTTCAAAATGACTTTTACTGGACCTATATCTTGGGAGAAAAACGTTGAGCTGTAAACCAGGGAAGGGTGTTAATCGAAATAAAAGTGTTGCTAACTGAGATGCCTGTGTAAATGAATGCTTGCCGAGTTTGTAACTATTCTGTGCTGGTCTGTGTTGACTATGTTTAGAAGATGGCAGACCCGTGGCAGGAGTGCATGGATTTTGCAGTAACCCTCGCGAAAGAAGCCGGAGAGGTACGAGCTACCATTTCATTGCCCAGTGCAACGTGTGTAGATATTGCAGTGCGGCCTTGTTCAGCCAAGCTTGTTCTGATTAAGCTACATTTGCTGTGTTACTAAACACTTTGAATACGGTGAAAATTGAGTGTGTGTGTGTCACTAGGGATAGAAAACTGTGTGCATGTTAAGCAAGTACTGGTGCTGCCTGGCACATCCAGCCAGTTTTTCAGTTTGTGCCGTTCGGTTTTTGTGATGATAGTCATGAATCTAAAATAAGCTATGAAATTCTGTGACATTTTACCTAGAAGGTCATAACTCTAAAGTGTCTCACTTCGTAGACATTTTTGAAAGAAAAGGATTAAGAACTGATGGCATGCTTGAAGTTATTTTGTATCTTTGTAATTTACCTTTTTGGTTGACTGAAAATTGCTTACATCTTTTTAACTTGCTTACCAAAACATCTTTTTAGATGGTTCGTGAAGCTCTGAAAAATGAGGTGGATGTCATGATTAAAAGTTCTCCAGCTGACTTGGTAACAGTCACCGACCAAAAGGTTGAGAAAATGCTCTTCTCTTCTATAAAGGAAAAGTACCCAGCTCACAGGTATTTCCTGCACTGCTTTAAATGGATAAAATTAAGCCCAGGCTATGTATGAGGCAAATGCTGTTTCTAGGTAGAGAGTTGAAAGCTAGTTGACTGAAGCTTGAAAAGGAGCTTAGTTTGAGGGTATGGAGCAGCTCAGGCCAGGATGATGGGGAGGAAAATTACAAACCTGTAGGTGACATCTGGGTCGTTGATCGTGTATGTGGTCTTGGTCTTGACTGATAGCTTTGGCTGTTTCTGACTAATCTTTTATATATTTTTACCTCACTGGTTAAGCTCCTGAGCAGTTGCTCCTGGGTACTGAGTTAGGTTAATTGCCTGTACTATGGTTCTAGGGGTCGGGGAGGACGGGATCTTCGGATTCCTTCAGGACAGGAAGAATGTTTGGATGGTGGAAGCAATTATCTGCTCCCACAGGCACCGTTGAAAAGCTCAGTTAAACTCCCTGCATTTCAAAGTTCCACAAATGTGAAAGAAATGTTGCCATTAGGAAATTTGATGGAATATCCTAAAATCAGGGCTCTTCACAGACAGAGAAATTTAGCAGAAACAATGTTGTCAGCCAGGCAAGGTGGCAAGTGCCCCTAATTCTAGCACTCAGGAGATGGTGGTCAGAGGCATGTGAATGTGTAGCCAGCAATGGCCTCACAGTGAGACCCTGACTCAGGAAACTACGGGCTGGAAATGAGCTCAGTGGTAGAGCACTGTTTGCATGTGCTAGTCCCTGAGTCTGATCCCAGAACCCTGACAAACTGACAGCCATCCTTTGAAAATTTCATGCTGCAGTTCTGTTACTTCTTTCTCCTTACACCATTGGCCATTGTCAGTCTTTTAGCCACTGAGAAGGCGAAATACTTAAAGTTGTAACTGAACATATTTCCTTCCAATAAAAAGGCTTAGAAGTAAGGAAAAAGAAGACAAATATTTATTAGGACAGTTCAGTGTCAAATGATAAAAACAGAAAAAAGAAAACAGGAGAGAAGAAAACCAGTGACCTCAGACACCTTTTATAAAATTGGCTTGTTGTTGTACACAGTCGTGTCGGGTGTTGGTGGGTAGTTTACATTCCCATCCCATTAGTGACTATTATCAGTTATTCCTTTAAGAAGGACACTCACGGGCTGTTGAGATGGCTCAGAGGTTAAGAGCACTGGCTTGTCTTCCAAAGGTCCTGAGTTCCATTCCCAGCAAGCACATGGTGGCTGACAAACATCTAGAATGAGCTCTGGTGCCCTCTTCTGGCCTTCAGGCAGGACAACGTATACATAATAAATTAAATAAATTAAAAAAAAAAAAAAAAGACACTCACATGTGTGGTTGCTGGTGACTTCAGCTCCCCAGGGGTGGTCTGCTGGCAGCTTCCTCAGCTCCTCACTTCTGTGGCATTCCTCTCAGAGCTACATGGAAGCTGGCTTCTCCTGGGCCAGGTTGGGAGAAACAGATGAGCAAGATGGAAACTACCGGGCCAGTACTGAAGCTGTCCAGTGCACTCCTACCGTAGTCTTTGGATGAGAAGTCAGGTTCACACTCAAGTGCTACATGGGCTCTGCATCTTGCTAGGATCTAGAGAATCTGTGGCCTTTTAGTATTTCCATTTGTTTGATTTTAAGACAAAATCTCACTTGCCCTGCTTAGCCTGGAGCACGTTTCTCTCGCCTGCACCTTCCTGAGCGCTGGGATTATAGGCATGTACAACTACATCTTCCTTGTGCCCTTTTAAAATTGCTCTATTTCCCTAATTTTTCCTTTTAAGGATGACCTTTCCAGATGTGTGTGCTTATCTCTGTGTTTATGCCAGCATTGCATTTAGAACTGAGGATTCTGTCCTGTTCACATGCCTTTCCTCTGGAGAAATAGAGTTTCATTCATGTTTTTTTATTATTATTGTTATATTTTTACCTTTTTAGAAAGAAACAAAGAGCAACAATAGAACAGTAGTCTAGACTTGGCTTGTGATTCAGGTCGACCCTGAAGGAAATGAAGCTTAAAGACTTGAATCCAATTTAGAGGTTAGGAGTTTGTATTTCTTGCTTTCAGTTTCATTGGTGAAGAGTCTGTGGCAGCTGGGGAAAAGACAGTCTTCACAGACAAGCCCACGTGGATCATCGATCCTGTTGACGGAACGACTAACTTCGTGCATAGGTATGTCTTTAATTCTAATGTAATTACTGTCGTGTGTTAACTGCATGATCTCTGTTCAAGGCACCACACACTTTAGGAATTGTGTAATTCCTTTATTCTAAGAAATTGTATATTAAATGTAGTGGTGGAGCTAACTGCATTATGCAGGTCTTTCCAAAGATGTGGAGGAAGTGAAGAAATGGTACTGTGTGGACTTGTTTGATATGCCTGGTCACCATTCTTTTTCTCACTGTGAAGACTACAAAAATATGAGGGAGTAACGTGGGCACTTTAGATCAGTAAGGAAATTGGTAAGTTTAGTGATGGGATATTCTCTGTGTACAGTGAGTTCACTCTAGTAGAGAAACAGGAGTGTTAAAAGGTGTGGGCGTTGGGATGTACATGCTGATATATGCATCCTGGAGCCTGTTCATTGACTTTGTGACTTTGGGCAAGTTAGTCTTTCTAAGCCTCGGTTTTAAAAACCCTTAAGGCCAGGGCTAGAGAGCTGGCTGAAGTGGTTAGGAGCATGGGCTGCTCGTTCACAGGACCCAGGTTAGATTCCCAGCACACACGCGGTGATTCACAACTGTCTATAGCTCCAGTTCCAGGGGATCTAACACTCTCTTCTGGCACTGCATGCATGTGGTACATAGCCAGACATGCAGGCAAAACACCCTTACACATAAAATAAAAATAAAGGTTAAAAATGACTAAAAATCCAAATGTCCTAGTTTGCTTTCTGTTGCTGTGATAAAACCATGACCAACTGAGGGAGGAGAGGCTTTACTTCATCTTACTCTTTACAGCCTAACGTTGAGGGAAGCCGAGGTAGGAACTCAGGGTACAAGCTATTTGCACAAAGCATGGAGGACTGCTTGCTGGTTTGCTTCTTTTGGCTTGCTCTGCTACCTTCTGTGACCCAGGCCCACTTGCCTAGGAATGGTACCAGCCACAGTGGGCTGGCCTTTCTTAAATCAATTGCTACTTTAAAAAATGCCCCTCAGAAAAGATCTTCGCCAACCTACATCTGACAGTGGGCTAATATTGAGAATGTATAAAGAACTCAAGAAAGTTAAACACCAACAAACCAAGTAATCCAATTCAAAAATGGGGTACCCAGCTAAACAAAGGAATATCACATGGCAGCAAAACACTTAAAGAAATGTTCAACGTCCTTAGTCATCAGGGAAATGCAAATCAAAACACCCTAAATTATCACATGGCAGCAAAACACTTAAAGAAATGTTCAACGTCCTTAGTCATCAGGGAAATGCAAATCAAAACACCCTAAGATTTCACCTTCCACCCATCAGAATGGCTAAGATCAAAAACTCAAGTGACAACACATGCTGGAGAGGATGTGGAGAAAGGAGAACCTTCTTTCATTGCTGGTGGGAATGTAACCTTGTACAACCACTTTGGAAATAAATCTGGCGCCCTCTCAGAAAATTTGGAATAGTTCTACTTTAAGATCCAGCTATACCACTCCTGGTCATATACCCAAAAGATGCCCCACCATTCAATAAGGACACTTGTTCAACTATGTTCATAGAAGCTTTATTCATAATAGGCAGAATCTGGAACCAACCTACATGTCCTTCAGTTGAGGAATAGATACAGAAATTGTGGTACATATATACAATGGAATACTACTGAGCAATTAAAAACAAGGAAATCATGAAATTTGCAGGCAAATGGTGGGAACTAGAGAAGATCATCCTGAGTCAGGTATCCCAGAAGCAGAAAGACACACATACTCACTTATATACTAAAATCTATAGTCCTAAAGAAGCTAAACAACAAGGAGGACTCTAGGGAAGAGGCTGAAACCTCACTCATAAGGGCAAAAAGGATAGACGTTGGAAGTAGGAGAAGACAAGGAATAGGATAGGAGCCTTCCACAGGGGGACTCAAGACTCTTATCCATCAGGGTATCAAAGGTACTAAGACTCATAGCCAAATTTTGGGCAGAGTGCAGGAAACCTTATGGAAGAAGAGGGAGATACAAAGACCTGGAGGGGACAGAAACTCCACAAGGAGACCAACAGAGTAAAAAAATGTGGGCCCAGGGGCCCCTGCAGAGGCCAATACTCCAACCAAGGACCATGCATGGAGAGGATCCAGATCCCTCGAGGAAGCCCATAGGCTGCTCAGTTTCCAAGTGGGTTTCCTAGTAAAGGGATCAGGGGCTGTCTTTGACATGAACTCAGAGGCTGGTTCTTTGATCACCTCACTCTAGGGGATGCAGCCATGCCAGGCCACAGAGGAAGGTGATGCAGCCAGCCCTGATGAGACCTGATAAGGAAGGGACAGATAGAAGGGGAAGAGGACCTTCCCTATCAGTGGACTAGGGGAGGAGTATAGGAGAAGAGGGAGGGTGGGTGGGACTGGGAGGAGACAGGGAGGGAGCTACAGCTGGGATACAAAGTGAATAAATTGTAATAAATAAGTAAATAAATAGAAAAAGAAAAAAAATTTCCTACAGACATTCCCACAATCTGATTCCTCCATTGAGATTTTCTCCTCTCAGATATGTCTAGGAGTGTGTCAAGTTGACAAAAACTGTGACACCAGGAATGAGTGTATAATCCTAGTGCTTGGGAGGTGGAGGCAGGAGGACCTTGGATTTGAAGCCAGCCTGGGCTACATATTGAATTCCAGGCTACTTTTAACTGCATAGTAATATCTTGTCTTTAAAAAAGAAAGAAAAAAAAGATGTTACAAAATGGCCATATTAATGGCACTTGCTTCACAGAATTGTTGGAATTCAATGAGTTGTACACTTAAGAACTTAGTATAGTACCTAAGGACAAGAATATAGTACTAAGGATAAGTAGTCTTGTAGCTGTGTGTGTGTGTGTGTGTGTGTGCGCGTGTGCGCGCGCGCACGTGTGTTGATCGTACCTCTTCCTGCCATCTGTATTCCATCTCTTGGGTTATGAAAATTGATTTGAAAACATTTCATCAGTACCTGTTGAAATTAAATTCTGTTTTGCTTATTTTGTGAATTTTGTCTTTTTTTTTTTTAAGGTTTCCTTTTGTAGCTGTTTCGATTGGCTTCGTTGTAGATAAACAGGTATGTCTTAGAGGTATGGTCCATGAAATAACCTTGCTTTCCTTTCCTGAGAAAAAGTAAATCTTTCTTGTGTTTGGTTTGTGCCACCCAGAAATGTGAGCTAGGAGGCTGGGGAAATCTTCACACACATTTCCGGTGGATAAGGCTTGTTTTCTGAGAAGCCAGAGCTGGAAGGAAAAGTGAACACAGTATAGAAAAATCACTGTCATACTTCAGACACTTGCACACAGCTACAGCATGAGTTTATGTGACTTTAAAATGCCTCGGAGATGAGGTGGGACACTTCTGAGCATGGCTGCATGTGTCAGGGGCTGAAGGATGGCTGGAAAATGGGGTGTATTCAGGAACATAGGCAAAACTGAATACCTACATACACAAGCCAGGAAAGTCTAATCACTGTGGTCCTCTGTGTTCTTTCCCTGCTGTTTGGCTGTGCAGCTGCTGTCTTCAAGGAGCTGGTGCACTGCATTTGGTCCGCAAGAACACAGAACACTTACACATTTCTGAACTAAAAGCCCAAGGCTAAGTAAGTGGTAAGGTGCGCACACGCGTGCGCGCACATACACACACACACACACACACACACACACACACCTTAAAACATAAATCAGTATGAATGAACTCTTGTCACAGGCTATACAGGTCACTTAGCATGCTACATGAATGAAGCAAGAATAAGAGCACATGGGAAACATGAAGCTCTATGGCTGCCAGTCTCCAGTTCTTGAGACCAAAGCTTAAGGTCAGTTGTTGTACAGTTGAGTAGAATGGCTGGCCAGTGTAGAACTCACGCTATGGGGTCTCAGCAGGAAGTAGACTGCTCATGCAGGAAGTGTACTTTTGTTCTCTGATAGTGAAGGGCAAAGGCTGGATAAGTGGCTCTGTCTTGGCTGCTTTAGTAGAACCTGGGAGACTGGGTAAGTAAATATAGACACACTGGCACACAGTTGTGGGGGCTGGGCTTCAGGTTAGTGTCCGGAGAGGACATTCTCTTCCCAGGTCGGGCCTCCTGTGCTGCTGGGCAGGAAGAGGGCTAGGTGCTACTAAAGGCCACACCTCCCAGTACCTTCTCTTAACAATTAGATTGCAGCATGAATTTGTAGGGGGAGAGAACTCAGATGAGCAACAGGGAAGGAAGAAACTTAGTGAGAAGGTACCAAGGAGAAGAAAGAGCAGTGGGTGAATGGAGGAGCGGGATTCCTGACACGAGAAGATATATTTCACTGTAGAAAACAAAGGCCGCGTCCGCCTGAGCAATGAGAAGGGCTGTCTGCATCTAGACTTGAGTGGGGAGCTAAGGATCACGGTCAGACGACCTGCTGTGTCGGGGCTGCACCTTCCCACAGTTCAGCTGTCTGAATATATTTTATTAATATAGATTTCCCTGCTGCTTTATTCATAAAATGATGACACCAGTTAATTGAAAAATACCCAGGTTTGCTGAAAGGGATTTGTTTTCCAATGCAGATGGAGTTTGGAATTGTGTACAGCTGTGTGGAAGACAAGCTGTATACGGGAAGGAAAGGAAAAGGCGCCTTTTGTAATGGTCAGAAGCTTCACGTCTCAGAGCAGGAAGGTAGGTGTGTCCTGCAGTGCTGGTGCCCTCTGTGAGGAGTGTTTGCGTTTTACATATTTGTATATTGACAGGAGGGTTAGTGAGTATTAGATAGGTCAAGACTGTATTATTTCTCCCTTTTCCCTTCTGACCTCCATTTTTAGTGTGATGATTGGGGCAGAAAAGCAGATGTCATTGAACACAGGCACTCAGGGCATCAGTAGGAATGAGTTGATGGGTGGCAGGGCTTCTGTTCTGAGAGTTCATGACTCAGTGCTTCAGTTATACTGTCTCATTCTTCCTACAATTTCTTGATTTGATTTGATGCCACTTATACCATTATTAGTAAATCATAAATAATGCGTGTTAAAACTGAGATCACTTGGGCATCTTCCTGGAATCCCAACACTTAGCAAGTGGAGGCAAGGGGGATCAGGAGTTTGGGTCCAGCCTGAGCAAAGCAAGTTCCAGAGAAAACCTACACTTCATAGCAAAACTCTTATCAGAGGGAAAAGAAAAATGTGCCTTTTCCTAACAAACAAAACCACCTGAGGATCCTTAAGAATGATACACAGTACTTTCTCAGTCTCTGTGTGGGGTTCGGGTCTCTCAGATAAAGTGCTGTGTTTGCATATAACCTGCCCCCATACCTTGGTTAGTTACAGGTAATGCCATATCCATGCTGGGTACATTGTTGCTATACTCTGGCCTAAGGAGACAATGAGGGAGAGTCTCCATATTCCATTAAGATAGGAGGTTTCTTTGCAGGGAGTTGCCATCTGAGAGGAGTGAAGTCTGACTTGGACCTTGTTTGTTGAAACTAGTTTATGGGTGTGTATATGTACACAGAGAAGTAAACATTAGCATTTGAACTGTTTCTTTATGATAGTTATTCACATTTGGAGTCACCTACCATATTTACTAGTTTGCACCTTAGGATCCTTTCAGTGTAGTAAGAAGTAAACTTATAAACAGTCTTGATTTTGGGATTTTTGCAGACTTTCATAAACTGCCCTTCCTCTGTTTCTTCCTCCCTTCCTTCCTTTTTCTCTTTCTGGTTTTGTTTTGTTTTGTTCTTAATCAAGGTTTCACTGTAGCTGGAACTAGCTATGTAGACCATTTTGATCTTAATCTGAGAAATCCCTCTGCCTCTGTCTCCTGGGTGCTGGGACAGCACAATGCCCAGCCCTAACCTTTCTCTTATAGGCTAAATTCAAGGGTATATTTTCTGTTTGTTTTTGTTATTTGTTTTTAAAAATAATTTTATTTTTTATTTACAGGTTTGTGTCAGACACTATACCTAATTTATAAGTATTTTAACATTTGAAGGTTGGGGAAAAGAGTTAGAAAAATAGAAAAAAGGATTTAAATGTTCCATCTTATTCTGAAATTGTGTTAGGTTTGTTGTAGAGTTTTGGTTGTTGAGATCTAGTGGCTTATTTGAGATTGTTCTCTTCTTCAGACATTACCAAATCCCTCCTGGTAACTGAGGTGGGCTCCTCCAGAAAGCCTGAGACTTTGCGGATCGTTCTCTCCAACATGGAGAAGCTGTGCTCCATTCCCATCCACGGGTAAGGTCCATGCTCCCACCCAACGTCCACATAACTTAACTTCTCAGAGGAATTCATTTCTGTGCATGTGTGTGTGTGTGTGTGTGACCACGGTCTTGTGCTGGATTTGGAGGCTAGAGTTGATCTTGGGTATCTTCCTCATGGCTTTCAGTGGATTTTGTTTTGGTTTTGAATTTTACAACAGGGTTTTGCTGTATGTCTCAGGCAGGCCTCTCAAGGTCATAGTCTTGGCCTCCCAGTTCCTCAGAAGTCCCTCTGCCTCGGCCTCCTCAATAGTAGGCTTAGAGATGTATGCTGCATGCCCAGCCTGGCCTCTCTAGTTTTGACTCTCTATTTGAAGTGTGTCTCTTGTATAAAACATAGACTGGAGTTTCGATTTATAAGTCAATTGGCAAACGTTTTTAATAGACAAGAGCATTAGTACTGATGCTGCTATTCTACTTTAATTCTGTATTGTGTTGCAATTATTATCTGTATTATTTGTAGTTACTGTATTTCATGCGTTAGTTGCTTTGTTTTTAAATCTTTGCGTTTATAAATGCTTACATTTTTAGCTTATTTTTATTAAAGTTTTCTATAATGTTCTCAATATAATTTTTGTTTTGTTTTGTGGAGATAGGATGTCACTGTGTGGCATAGCCTGGCCTGGAACTTGAGATCCGCCTGCCTCAGCTTCTTGAGTGCTAGGGTTGTATGTTTTACACTCATGTTATCATGGAATAATGATAGGTTATATAAGTGGATAAGCCACAGTGGATATTGCTGAGAGTGATGGCAAATGTTAATACTGCTGCCTCTTCAGGAGGTTGAGGCAGGAGGAGTGCTTGATTCTAGAAGTTAGAATTTAGTCTGGAAAAAATAGTGAGATCCTGGAAAAGTTGTTTCTTCATTTTTGAAGCAAGCACTTATCCTAGAAGTTTTAGGAAAAGCTGGTGATTTTATGTCCTTAAATTTAATCCAGTTATTTGTATTACATAAGTAGCATTCCTCTGACATTTATTGTGGTTGTTTCAGTAAAAATAATCTTTAAAAAAGCCACTGGAGCAAAACATGGTAAAGCGTACCTGTAAGCTTGGCCTCTAGGAAGCTGAGACAAGAGTATTGTGGAGAATAGTGCAGGGACAACCTGAGCAACAAAAGAATAAGCTGTCTCAATTGAATGAAAAGCCAGACTCCGTCACTGCGCATGCTGAGGCAGGAAGACTGGGTGTTTGGCCAGCCGAAGTTACATAGTGAAAGCTCATTTGAAAAATTAAAAAAGCCTGTTGATTAGCAATAGCATTTTATGATTTTCTCATATTGCCAATTGTTGCTATCTTTTTTCTTCTGAAAATATCATCAGGTATAGACTTAAGAGAACTCACTAAGGATTGTCTAACATACCCTTGTTTTATAGATGAGTTCAGAAGTTCATGAAGAGGCTACAGGAGATGACGGAGCTAGATGAAAATATAACTATAGTCCTGGCTTGCAGTTCATTCTTTAATAATTAACTTCCCTCTTAGGAGTTAAGAAGTTTCAAGTACATTTTGACTATGGTACAAACTGTGATTTGGGACTATAAATCTGTGGTCTATGTAGGACGGAGTAGGGAAAATGAGAGGTTCTGTCACTCAGCTGTTGAACTTCTTGGAACATGGAGCTTTGAGGCCCAAGGAGTAATGTCCTTGAGGCAAGAACACCATGTTTCTTAAAGGCTGCTGCTACAGTTGGCTGTTTCAAAGTATGGACTTTATAAACATGGGCAGCAAAATGGCTGTAAAACAGCTTCAGGTGGTTTATACTTTAGCTTTTAATTTTGTTATTGGCTGAGGAAAAAATAATTTTTCAGTTTTTTCCCCCATTGTTTGAACCAGGAAAAGCTTAACAAGGATAAGTATTGTCTTATTCCTTTTTGTGCTGTTGTATTCAGCTGGTTCTTTAAGTTTTCACTGTCATTTCAGAATTGCTCATACTAAATACAATGAGATAGAAGAGTCATGATTTGTCTGACAGACTGAGATCGGTAAACCTTCTAGCTAGTTCCCAAGTAGTTTACAACAGGCACGAGACAAAGGGGATAATGATGAATCAGTTGCTTAATTTGGGGGAATTAATGCAGAGGTGTTGAACATTCTGAGATTGTGGCATAACATTGTCATCTTCAGGTTCATAATTGATAGCTGCACAATCAAGTTACAAAAATAATCATACACAGTATCATAATGTTTCATGTTATGTCTACAGTTTTGTGTAAATTCAAACTGGACAGGCCAAGTAAAGAATAGATTTATAATAAACATGGTACTTCTTACCAATATATTATTTGTAATCACTGCATTTGTGGTATAAGGTAAACTGCCCCCACTTCAATGACAAAGCGAAAGTTTGGCTGATTCAGAAGCAGCCGAGCATAAGAGCAGACCCAGATCTTTTGATACAATTGCAAATTCTCCTCCCTCCCAGGCACACATGGTCTCTAGAAGGATCTGGTGAAAGTCCAGTGCAGACCACTCAGCGCAGGACCTGGCCTTGCCTTTGTGGCCTGTGAGCAGAGTGATATCTTGGGTAATCCTTAGGGGTTTGTGTGGCTGTGAATCCCTTCCTGAGAACGCTTGAAGCTCACCAGAGGTGAGCAGAAGTTTCCTGTAGGGATGACTGTTCATCCTCTGCTTTAGGATTCTCAGTGGTAGATACTTTTTCTAGAGCTTGAGTTCTCAAATACCCCAAGTCCTATATATCATGTAAGAAATAGGGAAATAGACCTTCCTGGGGTTTGGCTTCAGCTTGTTTCCTTTCAGGCAGAGTCTTACTCTGTAGCTCAGGCTAGTATCGGATTTATAGTCCTCCCTGAGCCTCCTGAATCCTAGAGTTCTAGGCACCGCCATCATCTCACTTCACCTTTCTTTATAAGTGAAAACTTGACACTTGGGGGTTAATTAGATTGGCTTGCTAGTTCTTCATTAAATTTGGTATGAAGCAAAATGTGAAAGACACTCCAAATCAGAGATGTTTTATTCAAGGAGGCTGGGCAATAAAGAAACTGCTGACATGACTGTTCCATTGTGTGGTTAAGGTTTTTGTTGTAGATAAGAGAGAAAGAACCGCCAAGGGCATCTGGAGGAGTCTAGAACAGAGAGAAAAATGTGTAGATTGAACATGTGCAGGGCTGGGAAATGGGAGCAAATAGTGGAGATAGCAAGAGATGGAGAACAGAGCATATGGAGAGCAAGAGTCTAGCAAGGGGGCGGTGGCGGTGGTGGGGGCGGGGGCCAGAGGCAGAAGCACACAGTGAGCGTGGTTATAAGGAGAGTAAATAGCCAGGGGAAGGGAAGGGCCAGGAAACTAGTGTAGAGGCTTTGAAATGTATCTATAACTAGTACTTTGAGTTGGGACTGAGGGAACCTGGAAGCTGAGTGGACTTTGCTGCATAGCCACAGGTATATGTTAGTGCAGCCTTATGTCCCTTCTGCCAGCAGTAAGGAAAATGACTCCTTCTTCCAGATGGAACCAGTTTTACAAGTTCCGGAGGACTGCTGGCTTTTGTCTAACACCAGAAATCCTCTGAAAGTCTATGTTGAGCTGGGCCTAGGCTCAATGTTAGAATCAGTGGGTTTGCCCTTCTTGGGGGAAGTAGGATACCATTTGGACCTGACAGGTGTTATGTCATTTCTATCCTTTTAAAATTGGCTTTGTGAAGGATGTTGGTCTAGTCTTTGTTTTTGTTTTTTTAGAGGAAAAAAACAAAACAAAACAGAATTCAACAGTTTCCCAACATTTTTGAAAAATATACTTTGCAAGAATGAATGTCAGCCTTGCCCCCAAGAGTTTAAATGTTTGTTACAAAAGGAGCTTGAAGCAAATATGGTGGTACCCTCCTGTGACCGCAGCACTAAGGAGGCTGATGAAGGAAGATGGCAAGTTCCAGACCAATCTGGAGCATTTAGGGAAATGTTGCCTCAAAACCAACCACAAACACAAATACCACCACCCTTGAAAACCCAAAAAATTAAAAAGGAAATTTGAGTAGCAATTTGGAAGTAACTTACAGACATGATGTTTCCTTCCTTTTTGTTGCTGTCGGTTTCTTTTTGAGGCAAGGCCTCGCTCTGCCCAAGCTGGCCTCAAGCTTATGATCCTCCTGGCTAGCCTTCCAAGTCTGGGGTTGCAGGTGGAAGCCACTCCTCCTGGCTCCTCCTTCTGCCTACATGCTGAAGTGTTTATGTCTTCATAAAGGAGATAGTCATTAGGGTGACCACATGAGTGCTCAGGGTTTCTGCAGATGTTACAGTTCAGCCGTTAGGGTCACAGGACGGCTTTCAGGAGTGAGCTCTCCCCCTCCACCGTAGAGGCAGAGGGAAAACACCGGTCATTGGACTTGGTGGCACTCACCTTGACTCACTGAGCCATGTTGACAGCTCTCTTTGGTTTTGAGACTAGGTCTCACTTGGCAGCCCCTGCCTTGCCCACTGTACACAGCTTGGTTAACATTGCTCCTCCATTTCCTTTAAAGTGGATCTATAGTCATCATTTGTTAGGAGCTTGACAGTTTTAGCATTTTAAAGCTCCTATTAACTGTAGAAAACAATGCTACTTTTAAAAATTAAAGACTGAATGTCCATGCAGACCCAGGAAGCCTGTTGTGGTTCAAGCACAAGCATGAGGCCTTCCCAGTTGGCAGTGAGCAGTAGCATGATGTTTGACATTTACACTCACTGGAGCCTAGTCACACTGCATTGTCTATGTAAAAGTGAAGTGCAGGGGACCAGGCACAAGGATGTAGGCAAGGCTCGGTACTCTGCAGTGCTTGTCTGTTTTTGTTTTTTGATACAAAGCGATATAGTGTACTCCAGGCTGGCCTTGAACTCGCTATCCTTGTGCTCTCTTGTATTTAATAAAATCCAGTAGCCTCTCAGCTACTGTGATTCCAGGTGTGTGCTACCACATCTGGCTCTCTTTGGTGTGGTTTACATAGTACATAGTGATTACTTTTTTTTTTTTTTTCAGGACAGGGTTTCTCTGTGTAGCCCTGGCTGTCCTGGACCCACTTTGAAGACCAGGTTGGCCTCGAACTCACAGAGATCGCCTGCCTCTGCCTGGGATCAAAGGCATGCACCAGTGCTTCTGGCTCATAGTGGTTAGGTTTTTTTAAAAAGATTTATGTGTATTTTATGTGTCTGAGTGTTTGCTTGTGCATGAGTGTACACCATGAGGGCAGTGACCACAGCTGTTACAGGTCACCAAATCCCACTGGAACTGGAGTTCTTGGTGATGGTGAACGATCATGTTCTTGCAAGAGCCCAGCCCTGATAATTCAATTTTAATTTACTTTATTTTAAATTACAGAACATTTTTATCCTCATGATTGAGGCAAACAGTCTCACCTGGTGTTGAAAATGACCTTAAGGAGCCTTTTTGAAAGCTTTTTTTTTTCTCCAATCTTGTTTTCCATGTTAGAATCCGGAGTGTCGGAACAGCTGCTGTTAATATGTGCCTTGTGGCAACTGGAGGGGCCGATGCCTATTATGAAATGGGGATTCACTGCTGGGACATGGCAGGAGCCGGCATCATCGTCACTGAAGCAGGTGGAGTGCTTATGGATGTCACAGGTAAAATCAGGTCAACCACATCTCATTTCCTTCACATGTTCGGCCTTTTTTCTGTGTAGGTTCTGGAGACATGGTTGATACATGTCCTAATAGGAAAAGAAGCTGTGTAAGTCTCTGTAAAATCAGTTACAGAGGCAGTGGTGGTAGATAGTGGTAATATATAGTGAGAAATGATTGAGACTCTTCAAGTGCCAGTATCAAGAGCTCCCGAGAGGCCTCGGAGGCTTGTACATGGACTTTGAACAGGACCGTAGTGATAGTGGACATCAGGCGTTGGCCACCACCTCTCTTGCTCTGGCCTAGGTCAGTCAAATATCAGCACTGAGCAGAAGGTGAGATTGGAGAGGACAAGCCTGGGTTCAAACAGTTGACCGGTAACTAAGGAGCTATGGCGCGGGGGAGCAGGAGGTGGGAAAAGCACGATGTGAGAGAGCCTGTCCACAGACCTGAGGCAGGGAAGATGTGGGAGAGAGAGAGGTGGTAGCATGTTCAACTTGAAATCCCTCGCATTGCTATTTACTCGGAAAAGATGCCTAGAAACCTGCACCTTCTCCAGGTTGAAACGTCGGGTGATGATTGTTTTAAGAAAATGGACCGTATTAAAATGTTAGCATTGCCATGGGCTACAGCTGTGGACTTGCTTCTCTCCTAATTGTATTTGTACAGGATGTAACTTTTTCATGTTTGATTTGATTTCAGGAGGACCATTTGATTTGATGTCTCGGAGGATAATTGCTGCAAACAGTAAAGCATTAGCCGAAAGAATTGCCAAAGAAATTGAGATAATACCTTTACAAAGAGACGATGAAAGTTAGTCCTAAAGAACAGTGTCCAGCTTTGTCACATTCGCCGTCCCTGGATGTTAAGATGGATGATGTCACTGACTTAAATTTATCTTTGAGGTCCTGATTTTAAAATGGGAACTTTTTTTTTTTTTTTTTTTTTTTTTTTTTTTTTTTTTACAGAGGACATATTCAAAATAGGGTGGCATATTTGATTGTTGAAAGAAAATTTGCATGTGATAATATTCTTGGGGAAAATATACAGAAAGTATAATTAATGAACTAGCCATTGAAATAGTCCCCAGTCCATATGATCCCTTAAACTTTAATGTACTGTTTATATGCACAATTCTCAATTAGAAACTTTTCTTTTTGTGTAAGTTTTCCTCTTTGTTCCAGAAGCCATATTTAATGAAGCTTGTAAGGCTCTAACAAGCAGGCTCTCTCCTTGTAGAGAGCCTTTTTGCTTTATTTTATTTATTTTTATTTTTATTTTTTCCTTTTTGTTAATCACTGTAGTATAGCACCTGGCACAGTACCTGTCAAGCAGCAAGCAGTCTGAAATCGGCACCTTGCAGTGACCACTTGAAACTACAGCCCCTGCTTATAATGGGCCATGATAAGATAACCATTCTACTTTTGCTTCCTGTTTTGAAGTGAAAGTTACCTCACTGTCCTTTTTGTATTTCATAGGGTCACACTGCAAGAGACGATTGCATATTGTGGGCATTTCTGCAGTTAGGATATTACTGTGTGTTGTAGGTTCTGCTTAAAACCCCTGTGCTAGAAAGAAATTTTCACAGAACTCTTCCATGTATTTGGTGTAGTGTAACATTTTACTAAATGCAGTATTGACATTCACATACTTACACTGGTTTTGGCTGTGCTGACAGATGTACTGTGGCGTTAATGGTGAGATATTTGATTTCTTTCCAAATTTCTTGCTTAATTTCATCACTGCTATCTGTATATTCTACAAGGGTCTTGAACCTCTCAAACTCAAGAAAATTTAATGGCTCATATTCCTTTTTAAAGGATTAATTTTTTGTCTAGCCTTGACCCTTGGCATATGAACAGATGTTTTATTGTTAGTGTGTTTGAACTTTGTATTTAATAAAATGAAGTGTTCTTGTAAGTTTCAAGACAGGTATCTTATTATTGGGTCATTTAATACATTGAATGTGTATGATACTCTAATTTGAGCGCTGTAATTACTGTATTTATGCTGTTAATTACATGCGTTTAAAATGTCACATACCATGTAAATTCTATTGCAAGACAGGCTGTTTTTGCAATTAAATTTATTTTAATTAAGACTATTGAAAATACCATTGTCTTGTATTTATTTATGTATCCCAGGCTGGCCTCACAAATGTTATGTGGCTGAGGTGAACTTGAGGTTCTGTGGTCCTGCCTTACTCTCTTAAGTTCTGAGATGCAGAGAAGATGGCCCACTCCATCTCAGCCAATGTACATGTGGTGCTGGTGACTGAGCGCAGGGCCTCATGCTTGCTAGATTAAGCACCGTGCTGCAGAGCTGCACTCCAACCCATGGATAAATTTAAATTAAAAGTGCAATTAATGATGTTTTAATCACAGTTTATAGTCTCAGCACTTTTTAGGTATTTTGAGTTGAGCTACAGATATTTGAAACTATTTTTTTACTTCCCAATATAGGTAAACATTTGATATTTTTTCTCTATGACTAGATAAAGTGAATATGGTCTGGCTACTTAGATATTGAAAAAAAGATGAAGATCCTTTCCCAGTCTGTAGGCTGTCGTTTTGTGCTGATGACAGTATTCCTTGCTTCTGCTTTTCAGTTTCCTGAGGTCCCATTTATTGATTGTTCTCTTAGAGCCTGTGCTGTTGGTGTTCTGTTCAGGAAGTTGTCTCCTGTGCCAATGAGAGGACCCTGGGTAAGATGATCAATCCTCCCTCAGAAAGGCAAACGAGATGAACATCCTAAGAGGGAGAAATCAGAGAACAGGAAAACACAGAGGGCCTTTGAAAGACTCTACCTAGCAAGGTATCAAAGCAGATGCTGAGACTCAGCCAAACTTTGGGCAGAGTGCAGGGATCTTATGAAAGAAGGGGGAGATGAAGGACCTGAAGGGGACAGGAGCTCCACAAAGAGAGCAAAAGAACCAAAAATCTGGGCATAGGGGTCTTTCCTGAGACTGATACTCCAACCAAGGACCATGCATGGAGGTAACCTAGAAGCTCTGCACAGATGTAGCCCATGGCAGTTCAGTATCCAAATGGATACCCTAGTAATGGGAACAGGGACTCTCTCTGACATGAACTCAGTGGCTTGCTCTTTGACCACCTCCCCATGATGGGGGAGCAGCCTTACCAGGCCACAGAGGAAGACAATGCAGGCAGTCCTGATAGGCTAGGGTCAGATGGAAGGGGAGGAGGTCCTCCCCATCAGTGGATTTGGGGAGGAGGATGGGAAGAGATGAGGGAGGGAGGGTGGGATTGGGAAGGAATGAACAAGGGGGCTACAGCTGGGATACAAAGTCAATAAACTATAAAAATTTTTTAAAAAGTGAGATCTCACTTCAAGTGATTTAATTAAGAAAAAGATCAGAAAGACCAAAATAATTGGATTTTTTTTTTTTTTTTACGTAACATAACCTTTTATGCTTAACATGTTACTGTATTCCAGTATTTACCTTCTCATGTTCTCCATTTTCAGGGTGCTTCTTTCCCTGACCCCTTTACTTTTGAGTACCTTCAGCTCTCAGATTTATGCATCGTAGTTTTAGAAATACATTAAAGTTCGTGTGATGCAGCTTGACGCTGTGCATAGGGAGACCTGCAACCTTAAATGCAAGGCACAGAAACATGGGTCGATGGGATCACGACCCACAGGTTGACGACCTCTGGTTTAAGGGGACCAAAAGTCATTTTAACATGTTCTGTTTCCAGTGTTACATATAATATGTTCACTTGTATTTGGTGCTATATCACTTGAAATCTTTCCAGCTCTTGTGTTTTTATTAACTCAGACACAATTACTTGTCTTCTGGCTTGTTGAAGCAGCACAAGTCAGACAATGTATTTGCTATAATGTCTGTCAGAGTGGCTGGCCATGAAAACTCTAGTGCCACATTCATTGGAAGGGCACTCTCCATGACAGCAGTTAATTTCGTCAGGCTTTTTAGAGTGTTTCAGGACAGCATGGTATATTCTTCCTCCTCATCTCAGGACCATCATGGAGTCTAAACTGGATGAAGACTCTGGGCTGCTGTAGTCAGACAAAATATGTCATCTCCCTGTGGCTTATCAGCCGTTATGATGATAAGGAATCCCTCCCTTATCCTGGATCTTGCCCTGACAATTTCTGTAGTGTCCGGGTGTTCAGCATTGAGTGTGATGGTCTCTCTGAGGGTCTTTCTGAATTAAATATGCATCTTGGCTGCAGTTTCACTGCAGATGGTGGATGTGGAAGGAAGAACAGCCAGCGGCTCATGGAGCTTCCAGCTCAGAGGCCTTTAAAATAACTCAAAGGATTTTCTTTGATAATGTTATTAATTTTTATTGAAGCAAGAGATTCATATGTTCAAGGCCACTCATTTATTTATTTATTTGCTTATATTCTAGGCTAGAGTATTCTAGGCTAGTTTGGGCTCCATAGAAAGACCCTGGTCTCAAAAACAAGCGTTTGCATTTCTGGAGCACAATGCATCATGCATTATGCAGAACTCTGGATAGTTAATGCATTCATTACTCATAAAATGCCACGAGTGGTGGTGGTATATGCTTACAGTCCCAGCACTTGAGAGGCTGAGGCAGGGGAATTGTCATGAGTTTGAGGCCAGCTTAGGATACATAGTGAATATCCACCCAGCCAGCACTACCAGACCGAGATCCATCTCAGTAACTAACAATAACAAACAATTATTCTGAGGGAAGCTGTGATTTTCGTAGAAACAGATGCTTTGCTTCCCTGCACAGATAATGCAGCCAAGCCACGAGCTCCCATGGAGACCCCTGGCTGCACATTGGAATCACCAGGGAGCTTTGCACAGGTGCCGTTGATGAGGACTCAGCCAATGAATCTGATTAGCTAGGCCAGAGTGTTGTGGACCATCTGTATTTTCTGTTTCCCAGGTAATGGCATCAGGTAGCCAGCATGGAGAAGCACTTTGCTTCCCCAAAAGTACAGATTTCTTACAAGTATCCAGGTTATTTACCACCTGCTGTCCTGCCTCCACAAAGCAAAAGTTTCATGGTACAGAAATGCTGCTGGGTCAGCCTCTTTGCTTGGAGGGGGGGGAAAAAAAATCTAACAAGCTTTTTTAAAATTCCAAAGTGAACACTAGATGGCAAACAGCACGCAGGGAATCGTCATATTGCTCTAGCGTGCTTATTTCTCATGTAGATAACAACTTCAGCCAGTTTTTGGCGTTAATAATGCAGCATCAGCATCAGGGGTGCTTAAAGCAAAATATATAATTATAATATATAATGTAATATAATAATATAACATAACATAACATAATATAATGAAAAGTAAATAACACGGGATTTTTTTTTTTTTTTTTTTCTGAACCGTGCTGTGTGGGCCGGCTCACAATCCCTTACCCAGAGCTGTGGGTAACCATATATGTGAATCATTTTTTAAGGTAGCTAACTTATAAACACAGACAAAACACAACACCTGTCATTTGTTACTGTAGTTGAGAAAGTTTTTTTTTTTGTTTGTTTTTGGTTTTTTTTTCCCCATTAATGTCTTTTACTATCCCTCTTTAAGCAATTGACCGACTAGAAAAACATTGACGCGTCTTGCTTTCCTTTCTGGGGCCACTGTGTCAGCCCCAGAAGGATACAGCAGAGGGCGCCAACGCACCACTCTCCGCCGCGTACCTAGCTTCCGGGAGGACTGAGAAATAATTACAGCGATTACATCTAACATCAAAGACTGCTAAAGTAACATCACCATTGCTGTGTTCTCACAACTCTCAGGCCCCACACCTCCAGATGGCTACAGTGTGCCCAGCCGCGGGTTTGGCAGGGAAAGTGCTCCTCCGTTGTCTGTTTCTTTACTGTCTCCTGCTTTCAAGAGTGGAGTTTTTCATATCACGCATTCGAACTTTCTCATAAGAATAGGTGAGGGATGTAGAGGCTCAAGTACCAACTTACAGCTGCCCACATTCTCCTGAGACACAGTATAGATTGATTAGCCTGGACTGCAAGGACAGTCAAGTTGGTACGAACACCAGGTAGAGGCTGGCTGGCCGCTTTTAAGCTTTATACTTTTCTCTTGTATGAATGCTCAGAGCAAGCTATGTTTAGACTCGCTCTTCTTTTGTTAATTCTAACCCGTGCTTTCATTGTGAGCCCCACCTGAACTCGTATTCAAACCAACCTTTCCGTGTCTAACTTGTGCTTACATTTCCCGACATATTTGATCTTAGTTCACCCGTGACTCCCCCCAGGACACTTTACTGCCTCTTCTGAGAGGTCTGTCTTTCTTCGTTCTTAATCTGGTGCTTGAGATCAGAGGTAGAGTGTATGTTTAGCACTGGACAAGGCCCAGGGTTCAACCCCAGAAAGAGAAGGAAGGATCAAGCGTGGTGAGTGAGGTGTACATGCAGTCCCAGCTGTTAGGAGGTAGAGGTCGGGGGTCAAGGGTTCAAGGCCATCCTTTACTAGAGCCATAGCAAGCGTGGGGCTACCCTGAGCTACAGAAAACCCTGACTCAAAGAAGGGGCGGGGGACCCAAGTCCAGTGCTTGCCACACTGTGATACTAGTTGTCTCTGTTTTGTGAGGATGGGCAATTGCTCATCTGCATTCTCAGCATCTAAGCACAGGACCTGGGAAACAGCAGACCTACGAGTGTTTGTTGAATGCATGAATAGAACTTCAGTGCTTGCTGACATCGTTCATGCCACTTTTTACTCAGATTTGAAAGTAGGAACAGTATTATTATTGTTGTTGTTGTTCACAATCTATTTGATTTGTGTCCCAGTTGTAGCCCCCTCCCTCATCTCCTCCCAGTCCCACCCTCCCTCTGTCTTCCTCCTCTATGTCTTTTCCCTAGCCTACTGATAGGGGAGATCCTCCTCACCTACTGTCTGATGCTAGCCTATCAAGTTCCATCAGGACTGCCTGGATCTTCTTCCTCTGTGGGCTGGCTAGGGTGCCCCACCAGGGAGAAATGATCAAAGGGCAGGCAACTGAGTTCATGTCAGAGACAACATGTGCTCCCCTTACTTGGGAATCCACATGGAAACTGAGCTGTTTATGGGCTACATCTGAGCAGGGGGTCTAGGTCCTCTCTATGCATCAGTGAGAGCAGGAACTTTAAGCAGGTCTG